CCATTTGTTGTTGCTCAGTGTAGTATCTACGTCACCATTTTATTGACGTCTATGCCCGTGAAGCATTAGCAACTGAAACAATTGTGTGATAGCTTTTGCTATCACTTATACAACAGATATATACCATCTAGATAGATGGCTATAGAAATGCCTATTATTATTATTATTATTATCTTTTATCTGTCGTGTGACATCATTTTGAACAATCATATTTTATGATTATTAGTATGTGGGATATATTAAAATAAACCAATAGATACGATAGATTTATGTATATCCCACATACTAATAATCATACAATACGATTGTTCAAAGTGATGTCACACGACAGATGAAAGATGGTTTATATCTGTCGTAGAAGTGATAGCAAATAAATACAAGAGGTAATATTTAATCCCATACCAGGGCGCAATTTCATGTATTTATCTATATATTTGTTTTCCTTTATAGTCTGTTTCCGAAGTGGCAGGGAGATCAAAAAGTCCAGGTATTACCTAACCTTCATAATGACAACCAGTAAACATGCCAAGCCTTTCAGAGAATTCTATGAATTAGATATTAGCTTCTTATGTACAAACACATAAAACATTTTTTTAGCAATTTCATTAATGATAATATAAAAGATAGTTAAAGGGTTTCTACAACAAAATTGTTAGGAATTAGACAGCTCTTTGTAAGGATTATTTTTGTCAATTCATTGCTGTTCGCTTTTTTTCATCTCTCACCCATCCTATTCTATACTCCTATCTTTCTTCTTTACTTTACTTCTCGCTTCATCTCTCTATCCATAAACCCTACTATCTACATATCTTCCTATCTATCCATCCATCTATCTTTCCTTTCCTCCACTTTGAGCCTTTATGGTTGTATTTTGTGCCATTTCTCTTTTTGTCTCAGTCTAGTCTATGTGTATTATGTTTTTCTGTGTAAAAAAATTAGTATATTAATTCAGACAACCTATGTGCAACAAGCCTAGCTTTTAAGTAGGTTCAATTTTTATTTCCATATTTAATGATTTATAGAACATTTTTTTCATGTTATTAATTATTATGATTCAAGATTATCTGTTTCCATTTTACTCAAAGTAATGTTCATGTTTTGTGAATTGTATTACCGGTATGTTTAATTTTGCATGGAAAATGAATAAAAGCTACCAAAAATCAATGAAAACCTAATTATCATTTGGTTGATATTCATAAAAGATATTAAAAAATTGTTTTAAAATCACGTACTTTGCAAAACATTAGCAAATTCAACCCACAAGATTAAAGATGAAGTTGAGCTCTGGTCATGCGATTGTATTGTGAAAGAAATGGTATGGAATCGACTAGAAAAGGTTGATCATCTAGCATATAAGAATTTGTGTGTATTGCAAGGTTCTGGAATCATCAAAATGATAAGAAATTTGGCCAAGCCTTGGTAAAGTTACAAACACTGTACACAGAAAGATGTATATGGGACTACACGAACATGTGGCGTAAAAATCCTACCCTGGAGTTTTACGATGTTACATGACATATTTGGAATATGAAGGCATTTGAAGAGCCATGCTTTTCAGGGAACATGTCTTATCTGATGTTCTTCCACACTTGCATAATAAGAATGATAACGCTCACAAATTATTTTTCACCTCTTCCCAGAACTCAACTATCTCTTTAAAGATCCGTAGACTTTTACATGATATATTTTCATATGTTTTTTCCTTTTTCTTGAATTTGTTGTACATAGGCACAAAAAACGTCAAAAGTCCTCACGTGAGTAATCAATTTTCATCTATTTTAAGAATAATTTTTCTCCATTCTGTTTTATAATATGCTTCTGGCTTTTGGTTACCGACAAATTGTGAATTTTGGGCGAATATATACGTGATTAAGATTTTCTCGGCCAAACTAATCATTTAGTCATTACAGTTCATTTTGATAGTAATTAAATGTATGCGAATGTCGCCCTCGGATGAATTCAGTATTAAAAGCTAAGAATTCAAGCATTCCAACTCATCATTCATTAAACCAAAATTTGCTTAAGTGCATTCAACTTACAAAGTAGGGGTGGTATTCTGAGCTCGAATTTTTATCTCTAACCCCTTAAACCACTTTTTTATCTTAAATTTTCACCTTCATTTTTATCTCACTCGCTTCCTGCTTGCCCATTATAGTAACGGTATATGCATAATAGGTACGGTTTTAACCATTAAGGCTAACGCCTATCTTAGTTTGTGTGAAAGTTAGAATTAAAACTTGTCTCATTCTTTCTCAAGTTTGAAAAGTATGAGATAACTTGAGTATTAAACTTTTATCGCTCAACGTATGGGCTTTAAAAGATTATATTAAACAGAAGAAAATATTTAAGTACATTTACTTACAGAATAAGAAGATAGATGTACTGTGCTTACTAGAAACACGTAGCACACATGAGGTTAAGTTATTTTGGAGAAATCTAATGAAAGGAGATTTTTACTTTTCACAGGGGATAAACTGTGGACAGGGAACACAGCTTTAGAACATGCACTATGACAATGTAGCTATGTTCAGACATTTTGGAATGTTTGACTTATCTTTTCTCGATGAAAAAACATTTATAGGAGGGTATTTAGAAAATCACACAAAGTATAGTAATGTATCATATTTTACTGATAAAAAACTATTTATTTCCTGTGCATAAACAAGAAAAACAAGTAAAAACATTGTTGTTGTTTTTTTAAATACGCTTTTTTATTTCATATAAGAAAGAACAATATATTGCAAATCAAAAGGAAGTCATCATGCTGATTTTTCGGGCCACAGTTAAAACTATAGCTGACCAGTGATCTTGAGACTGTACCATATATATGTTTGTTTCTCTCTCTTTTATGTATCACGATATAGACCCTAGAAACACCCTCTACTTCATCACAACCGATGATTAAAGGTATTCTGAGTAATTTTATCTAATATTTTCTAATATTTTCTAATATTTTCTAATAATATATAGTCCTTATATTTAATAGATTAATCTAAAATATTCAACCGTTCTAGGCTTCTAAGCACCTGTGCAGGTGCAAAATTGGTATAGCACAAATTGTTTATTTGAATGTGGAAAAGAAGTGGGGGAGCGGAAATAAATTGTTCAAGAACGACTATTATTATTATTATTAATATCAATGGGGAAATGTTATACAGGACTTTAGTTTTTTACACTTGTCTTTTTCAAAGACACCTTTCAACAAATCTGCACCACTTTATTTTAATGATCTAAGATATGTGTCAGTGTACATGTTTGGTAGGCTGTGTCGCTGTGAACTATTAATCTTTATTGTATTCCTTTTTTCTTTGTCTGTAGAAAATGTGGCCTCAAGAACTGAACATAGACATGTAAGTGTGAACTTAAACAGATTCTCAGATAATATGTGTTTGATATGCTTTGACCTGCCGAGTTTCATGGAATACATACAGAAACAGTTATTTTTTGGTCGCTTTAGAAACAAAAATATCTTCATGTTCTGAGCCAATAGCCATTACTCTTGGTAATTCATTACATCTCTTGACTCTCTTTTTCTCATTTTCTATATACAATCAAATCTGCTTTAGTGACCACCTGTCTACAAAGACCACATATTTTATTAAGAATAATATCGCTAGTGACATTTGTGTGTCTCGCAATGTATGGTCAACAAGGGATCTAAAAGATCACAATACCATATCCGCAATGAGTAATATATTTAGCACCCCATATTTTGTTTCCCTTTGAAAACGGTTTCTCATTGAAACATGTAAAGCACCTGTAAATAAAGACCACTTTTCTTGTCTCCCTTGGGTGGTCTCTATAGACAGGTTTCACTGTATATAAACATGCATATATATATACAGTGCGTCCCAGAAAAAACAAAACCGAGAAATATCAATGTTATTTCATAACTTGATCACAATTATGATTAATAAATGACACATATTTAGATCCTCCTTTCATTTGATGCAATTCATATGATGCATATTTCAAGCATGAGTGATTAAAAACAATTTGAAGAAAGGGTACCAAAAAGTAATTTGGCAGATGGTATCTGAATTTCAAAGAGAAAATCATATTTCCCCAAAATTTAATTTCATGCATGGCTGATCGTTAACGAAACAGAGTTTGTTGTTTGTTGCTATGGCAGGCATCCAGTGAAAACGAATTCAATTTTTAAAATTATGGAAATGCAAGCATTACTAGCTTGAAACAAACAGAACTTTCTTTTTCCGGGCTCATTTTTCCTTATTGAGGTGTCGTATAAAACGGCTGAAAATGAAATTCAGATACTGTCCCCCAAATGACTTTTTGGTACCCTTTCTTCAAATTGTTTTTATTTACAAATACATGTCATTTATTAAATATAATTGTGATTCAGTTATGATTAAACATCAATAATTCTCGGTTTCGTTTTTTTCTGGGACGCACTGTATATCAATCTTGTGTCATACACATACATCGCAGAGAACTTCTGTATTTGTATATTTCTATAAACATGCTCTTGGTTGACATATTTTTTTTATTATTCACTATGTTATTATATGCACATTTGCTTCAATGAGTGTTTTATTCTCGCAGATTGCAGAGTCTGACATAGGACATGTAGAAGAACTAACATATCTTAAGCGTGAGAACTGGAAGCTGAGAACCAAAATTCAACTAGAAAGTGAGATACGATCAGCAGAGCGGAAGAAGAAAGCAGAGACACATCAATGGAGCTCCTGGAAAACAAGCTCAGAGTGGTAAGACTTTATTTTCCAATCTCAATTTCCTTTAAAAGTTTTAAAAAATAAACATTATACTATATAAGTCCAATCCAATTTGTTGCTACTTTTTGAAATATGTATAATGTGAAGCTTATCAAATCCTATATGCTCTTTATAGCTCCCTACCCCATTTTTGCTAAACTTTGAAATTACTTAGAATACCGATACAGTGAACGATAGAGAACATTCCAAATTTGTATGTTAAATTCTCTTTGTTTTCCTTCTCATTCAAACTGACTTCATTCCATCATGACAAGCACATCATCATCTGACGATAATTCAACCGGAGGATTTGGGAGTGATACAGTACAAGCAGGGTGAGATGAAATATCTTTACTCTTTACATGGCAAATTGACAATAAACGCATTATTTCTCTAATAGTGACAAAACTACTACGGAATGTACTTTGGTGTGTAAAATGAGTAGTCCTAGACTGTCAATAACAGTGCTAAAAGTACGGCAACAATTATGTTCTATGAATCCAAAATCATGTTTAGAAATTTCGTGACCAGTCACCACCTGTGATTATCTGAAAGCAGAAGTGAATAAAAGATTGAAAATCATTAACAAAAACATGAAAATCTTAGCTACATACCAGTCTACAGTGATTTGAGTTGAAAGTGAAATCTTTTAAAGAATTTAAATAAAATTTAATAATTCGATCATGTCGAGCATGGTCTCTAAATGAGATCCCTGTCTATTTGTGTCAGTCAACTGCTATAGGTTGACTTTAACAATGAACACATTCTGTAATGAAACAAGTAGAAGATGATACTCTTGATTGGAGTTATAATTTAACATAATCCTCTATAGTCTCATTACGGGAAGAACTTATTTTGACTTTTTTGTTCTTCACCTTAGTAAAGATAATTTTGTATTCATTTTAAAGTTGATCCGTCATACCTACGTTCTTTGACCACCCCCATGTTTGTCTTTGTTACCATTCTCGGGACCATTCTCGGGACCATTCTAGAGAAGAGCCTCCAGATGATGAGTTTGCAGGCATATTACAGCAGATAGCTTACGACCTTTACGACGAAGCCAAGATTGACAGCCTTGCTGGTCAGCTGGGAATCCTACATGGTGATATACAGAGAGCGCTCATGACCAATGTGAAGTTCAACCGTGTTACCAGTGACGGAACTCATCATATGCTGAAACAATGGAGAGAAGGTGTGTCTAGGGAAGATGAACGGATTGAACTCAGGAAGGCACTGCAAGCTGCCGAGTTGGTCAACCTTGCAGACCTGTATCTCAGCGAAGGTAACGTATATTTTCATTAAGAACAATTGTAGTTTCGTAATCGAGGACCCCATTCAACACTTCAGCAACATGCTGTTCTATTCAGTATACAATACGGCCCATGTGTTTAAAGTCAGATTGACAGAATTTTCTGAAGCAGATTCGTTTTCCACATTTTTACACTGTTGATATAAATACTAAGGTGACGTAATGCAGAGAAAAGGTACTTAGAAAGAGCTTAGGTACTACTTTCAGCTAGTAATTTCCTTACGAATAAAAAGCCAAACAGGGACCCCGGCCTTTCACAAAGCCTTTTTCCAATGACAAATGACAAAAATCAGTGACAAATCTGCTGTTAACCAATCGGAAGCAAGGATTTCAGTAGCTTATAACAAAAACTGTCATGTGTCATTGATGACAAGTTTTGTGAAACAGGGCCCTGATGCTTACTACCAACTTCAAGTTCTCATCTACTACCTGGTGAACATAAAAATAAAATAAATTTGAGATTCACTGCGATAAATTCTACACAATCATAATAATTCAATTCAATGTGTTTTGAGAAATAAACCAATTATCTGTTTTCTTTGTTACTGCCGGTTAGGTGTAATAGAAGAACAGATCGATGCTGAATATGATAAAGAAGACGTCAATGATGAGCAATTTAGTCACAATGTGTCTTAGTTATGTCGTAATTTATTCTCAATTTTATTGCGCTGCCACGGATGCCGGGGCAGTTCACGCCTACCACATGCCTGGAATGTCAGATTCTCATTTAAGTTTTCTCCAAACGGTCACAATTTAGTCTAAACAAGTTTTGCATTTCTCTAACTTTCTGATCATGGAAATTAATGGAGAAGGTTTGAGAGGAAACCGAGACACCCTGGAAGACTGCAACTATTTTGATAGATTATTATTGCTTGAATTTAGTTTGAAAATTCCAGCGATGTGAGTAACACAAGCAATTTAGAACATCGCAAATACTTATGACAGGCCATACAGGCCATTATTCTGTACAACTATACATCCATCGAATGGATTTATAGTTTTATCCAATCAGAACACAGGGAGCTGTACGACTATACAACCAAAAACTATGCAATTATAAGAAATGGATGTATGGTTTTAACCAAATCAGAGCTCAAAGCTGCTAGATAAGCGGGTGGCTTTGTTTGGAAAAATGTGCTTATTCCAGACAAAGCGGCCCGCCAGCTCTCATTTGGTCAATGGATGTACATGTATAGCTGTATACCCAGTGGCGTACGCAGGATTTTTTCAAGGGGGGGGGGAGGTTAAAAACGACTCAGCTTTATTATTTTGCTCCCAAAAATTTGAAAATCGCTGCGGCCGAAAAGTCGCTCAGTCGGGATGGGGGGGGGGGGGTAAGCGAACACTTTTTTTTTTTTTTTTGGAGTCCAAAAAAAAATCGCAACGACTCAGCCAGATGCTGAATAAGCGGGCGGGGGGGGGGGGGGGTAAGAGGACACTTTTTTTTTTTGTCTCGAGATTTGAAATTTGTCTTCGTTGTGGGGGGGGGGGGTAAGGACACCTGTTTTAGGTCAGCCATTTGCATAATTTTTTTTTTTTTTAATAATAAAAAAATAAAAAAAGGGGGGGTTTTAGGGGGGTTTACACACATAAAAATACCAAAGGGGGGGGGGTTCAACCCCAAACCCCCCCCCCCCTGCGTACGCGCCTGTGTATACCGGTAGTTGTATGGTTGTACAGTTTTCTGCGTACTGATTGGTTAAAACTATATATCCATTCATTGGCCTGTACGTCCTGTTATAAAAGCTTCAAGACATTTGGAAACTCCCTTCATGGCCAAAGGGTCATGATTTTACCCACACAAAATTACCATGGTACACAGTATTTTGGCCACTGTACATTCACCATGGTACTACCAGTTATACGGTACACTTTATATATAGAGCCATGGTAGTATCATGGTTTTTTTTTTCTTCGAAAGTACATTATCTAATGCTCAGTTCAATGTATGATTACAATCCCTCATTTCTATGACAACGCTTACATTTTATTTATATAATATAAAATTATTTATATTTTGCTTCGTAGAATCAGGCAGCAACCAATCAACACTAGGCGAAGGAAATATATCTGGAGCAACAAAAACAAATGTGATGGAAGTTGCTGAAAGTAACATAAAACTTTTGCCTACAAGTGATAACAAAAAAATTGCTAAAATTTCGCAAGGTATTACTCGTGAAGAGATCACAAAGGTGAAGTCATCCGCACTTGATATAACCTACAGCATGTGGGACTTTGGAGGACAGGAAATTTACTACATCACACATCCAGTAAGTCCATGGACCTGTTATTTTAGAGAGGAGGAGGGGCGGGGGGTGACAAAGAAATGGAGTAACAAATAATCACCCATAGAGCTTCTTCATGTTATGATACTGCAAAATATAAATACATTTTTCAAATTCACTATAAACATATGCACCTATTGTCCAGACTTGTTTGTGTCCACCCTGTCGGAGTGCAAGCACTCTTATGTCTATTGCCAGTGGAGTCGGACAGGGCAGGGCATAGCCTGGGGAACTTTTGTGTCAATTTTGCTGAAAATTATACAGCCAATTCTTAAAACGTGGACCTCTTGCATACAAACTCTACACAAGTACAAAGAACAACTCATCAAATACCTTTTCTTTTATACAACCAAACAATAGGCTATCTTACTTAACCCTAATAAGGCCGGGGGGGGGGGGGCCATTATGGCCCCCCTCTCCAAGATTTTTCCGATTGCTCGGGAACGCATATGGATGGCGCCCCGCCGCTCGCTTACTTTTTTCTTTTGAGTCTTGTGCAACTTTTAAAAGAGTTTTTTTTAAAATCGGACCTACGGTTACAAGGTCACGTGACCTTTTGTCTTTGCATGTCAGCCCGAAAAATCGCTAATTTTCGTGATTTGTGTACAAAACGTATGGAAAAGTCAGTTTCCTAAAAAACAGATCAAACATGGGTTATTGGGTCTTGTTTAAAGTTTAGGTGGTTGTTTTGGGAGTCAAAATAGTTGAATTGTAGTAAGAAAATAAATTAAACCACAAAAACAGTGAAATACATAAGAAATTATCAAAACAAGGGATAACATAAGAAATAAGCTGGCTCTTCTAACTTTTTTTGTCGTATTATTATTCAGAATGGTCTAATGAATATATGTAGTGAAAAAGAATGCTTAAATATGAATAATATATGATTTATGGGTAAAAATGTGATTTTTATGACTTTATTTGCATAAATTACCATAAATATGCAAATGAGTTAATTTTTGAAAAAAATGAATTATCATATTATTCTATACACTTCACTTGACATGCACGCAAATTTTCGCGGCGAGCGGCCGAGATCTTAAGGGGGGGCCATAATGGCCCCCCCCCCCCCCCCCGGCCGTACTAAGACCTCAAATAGCCCGGCCTTTTTAGGGTTAATGGAATGTTATACATGAATGAATATCACCTCTGCAATTCAAATTCATTGTGTTATCATTACATCTGGTCAAAGGTCATTACTGATGCATTTCAATTAAAATATACAGAGTCAGAGGAATCTTTCTGAAAACATAATTATTCCAGCTTTATGGGCAACAGTGTACATACTACTATACAAGTGCATATAGATGGTCAAGCATTTTCAACTACTCTCTCCACAAATTGTATAGCTTTTTCTGTCGTGGCGGTCTCTTTACATTCTGGTTATCCCGCTACACCTGGAGCTGAGTGATAAAGCACCACGCGAAGAAGATGTCGAAAATGCTCAAAAGCAAGTAAGTAGTGATCATTCTGTTCTCAAGCCTCAGCTACAACCCAAGTCCATATGTGGTTACGTACTGTTTCCTTACCAGCAACAACTTCTGCTAGCTAAATTTTAAATGAATTTCCCTAGGCGACTCATAGCTGATCAAATATGCAGATCAAATATGCAGATCAAAGTAAAACAATTCCGCAAATGAAAAATGAAAAATTCACTTTTGATTTGCAATTTCAGTTGAAAGGGTCTGCTGTAAGAACACATCATACCATTCTGGAATTGGTACATTTTTGGTTGATGTCAGTCTACACCTATGCAGTACCAGATTCTCACCATGAACCAAAGGTCTTGTTAATAGGAACATTTGCCGGTGATGAGGGCCCTGAAATCATTGGGGAAAAGGTAAGATAACTTTAAAAAGGGAAGGTATGAATTCTTTATATCATATCATACAAAGAATAGTATTTGCAAGCATTGATATTGTTTACATAGATTTTGGAAGAAAAAAATAAGCAGGCGACGTATATGTAGTTGGACTGGGTTGATGAACGTTTTTCTTCTTCAGGGTAGCGTGATGGTATTACTCTTTTAAGAACTTCATTATTTGTTTTAAATAATTAATCTGTTATCATTATCCCCATGTTCAGGCTTCACATTCAATTATTCAATTAATTAATGAAAGGGTTTGAGATTATCAGATATTTTACGACAAAATTGACGCTGTCTAGAGTCGGAACTGAGATTTGTGTCTTAACCCTATCGATCTCTCATCATCAGCCTCTATATTACAGTGATAACAAAATTTGACTATTATATTTACATAATGGGGAATTACATGAATGATACATAGATAATGATACCAACAGACCAATACTTATTCAGTGAAATTCAGGGTTTGTACGGGTCAGGGAATTTCTGGAAAGTCAGGGAATTTAAAAATGTTTTTTCCAGAAGCAAAAAGTCAGGGAATTCATCCATTTCTTCTGGAAAGTTCTCCTGTTTGGACTCGGGGGAAAATTCTGTCATCTTTAGTTTTAAAAACAACATTGTTACTGGGTCTAACTTAGTACACAAGCACTTCAACTGTGCCTCGTAATAAAATGAAAGTATTTTCGAACACTGTCACTGAAATAAGAGCCGATCATGTTAACAAAAAGACCAATGTTAGCTTTTTTTTGGTGGCATATTTTTTGGTGACTTTTTGTTAACCAGATCAGATCGCGTCTTATTTCAGTGTTCAAAAAATACTTTCACTTTTCATTATACGAGGCACAGTTAAAGTGCTTGTGAACTAAGTTAGACCTAGGTCTAGTAACAATGTTGTTTTTAAACTAAAGATGACAGATTTTTTTTCAGATTTTTTTTTTTTTTTTTTTTTTTTTTGGGGGGGGGGGGGATCTTCGAAATATGGGTGCGCCTCATAGTTTTCTGATTTGCCTCCTAGTATTGCAATGATTTATAGTTGTACGCTTTAAATTAAGACATGTTCATCATTGAAAATGGTCATGGAAATTTACATTATCCTGCTCTGGAAAGTCATGGAAAGTCATGGAATTTTTAAAATGTGTAAGTGTACGAACCCTGGAAATTGTAATATCATGCAACTGAACCTCGACCAACAACTCATTAATTATCAACAATTGCAGTGACAGTTCCTTCCTCCGTCTAATATCATGAACTAACCGTTGTAAACAATTTAATGAATTCCAATTTATAATGTAATGTGAGTTTTTTTTAATTAGCTAATGTTGAATATCATATGGCGTGATATCCACCATGTAAAATGAGGTTCAGTATTAGAGAGAGAGAGGCGGGGGGGGGGGGGGGGAGGGAGGGAGGGGTTCCTGGTACAAATTAAATCTAAGGCACTACTAACCACATATTTGATTTCTACACAGGTCAAGGACAAATTCCAAGAACTGAAGAAACAGTTAGGATCTAAACCCTATTGGAAGCAAGTTCTCTTTCCCATGTGTGGGATTGACAATCGATTTTCTCAAGGGTCTGAAGTAAGTTGTTGGTTAATGATGATATTACAAATTCAGTTATTATTACCATGTGATTTACAATTTTAGCCGTATAGTCCATCTCAAAACAATTTGCAGTTGAAAAGGTATTCCCAAAAAATTGTATACGCTGGACAGATTAGGGGCTCTATTATCATATGAAAACAAACTTACTAATTTTGCAGTTTTATTAATTATCATTATTATTATTAATATTATTATTATCATGATAATAACTAGAACAATAATTTGGTCTTATTTAGGCTCATCATTATTGATATTAAGTACTCTTCATGCAGGCTCTGCAGTTATCTCAACATAATTGCCACGTACCTACTTACATGTACCCTTGAAGTTGGCCAAAAGTGGGACATTAACATGTTTCATTGTTTCATTATTGAAGCAAACAGTAATGGTCATGAAATTTAAATTTTTGCATTTTTTCAGAAAAAGCTTACATTTATTTTCAAGTTTAAACTCATGTGTGAATGATCAATGAGTTGAGTTGATTGATTGGTTTACTGATACTGGTAGATCTATTTTCCTTTTGATTAATCAATGGATTACTGACTATTTCTGTATTGAACGGCATTGGGGATATTTTTTGGCAAAGTTGTAATGCCATTTCAAAATGTTACAAACTCACCAAAAACTGATACTTTAAAACACACTAAAAAGTAGTTAATTACTCAGTCATGCTTCAAATGATGTGTGTGTATTGGGTTTTCACAGACGTCTATCAATCAGATCTGATTATTTACGTCTGGGGACTGACCTTTAAACGTCACCATCCGAAAGATGTTACTCAGTTTCAAACTTGTGTCCTCGGCTGAATCGGTTTGTAACTTCCACTTTTTAGCTGGATTACAGGCGCACGCCACAACGCCTAGTTGTTGTGGAATGATATGCCAGCACATGCAGAGGTTTATTAAATAGAGCATGTTCTGTCATAAATTGTCTTTTATAAGGCTCAGAATATGAACATTTCTAAGCCTTTTCACGATTCTCGACTCTCAACTTTGTGTATACCGGCCAGACCAGACACCCATTCTGGATTTTGCACCCTTTTTCAGAAAAGTGGCTTGTACCAGTAATTTTCATTGAAAAAGTGAAATATTCTTTTTTTTTGGTGTCGGGTGATAGAGAGACCCTAAGCTCTCCACATGTATGCCAATTTCCTAGCACCTGGTTGGAATAGTTAATTGGGGCAACCTTTTGTAACTGATCTTTTTTATTGAGACGCACTGTAGTTTGCGATTTCACCTTTATCAGATGCTGTTTGTAGGTTTCCGCAATGAATGAGTACTCTTATTCACAATTGAAGGCTGATGAGGGTAACACCATGTGGTAGCCTGACATATGTCAAATTACTTGTCGGCCTACTCGATCCTCCTTGTCACAAAAATAGTTTGAAATTCGTTTTTAGAAGCACTCTACAGATACCAATAGTTTTTTTTTTCCTTCAATTTCTGTGGTACGTCTGCCCAAAACCTCTATCACCATGGTTTCTTTCCTGGTCCGACCTTCTCATATTTCCATTTCACCTCATTCTTCATGTATAAACACCAAAAATAAAGTCTTGTGTAAGTGATAGATTTAATATCATTTTGTTTGATTCATCTTTTTCTTTTTCTTCTCTTTCCTTTATCCTATTTTATTCCTTGTAAAATAGCCCTTAAGTGAGTTCTTTTCACAAAATAGTATAAGTCTTTTCAATAAGGCTAACACATGGTAATACCAAAAGCCTTCAACGTGTAAATCACTTGTATAAGGGCATTCTCACTTGTAGGCATCACAATGAAAATACTTGCCATATTGCACCCCACAATTCAAACCGGCATCCTATAATTCTGTGGAGTTAGGGATTGTAACAGCAAAGCGCTTGCACACATCAGCTTACTGTGCAATCTGACACTGCGCGAGATTACTGAGATCTCATCCTGCCTTAGTGTTGCCTATGGGCATTCTGCTTTCATAATCTCTTAGTAATTAGCATGGAATAGCAGCTATGACTAGGTACCAGACATCAAATTGTGGCACAACCTTCCCAGGAAGTGCAAGTAATCACTCAATCTGAGGAGTTGAAAACTCTTGAGCAATTCTTTCTAATTTTCTGCAGTGTATTTACGAGTGTTTGCTTGCGAATTTTTGTGCAGTTTTTCTGTCCTCATTAGAAACGCTCCGAGGAAGCATGGTATTACAGGTTTAATGCTGATGAGGTAATGTGGGTAAATGAAACCACAATAATGATCATTGTTGTTGTTCTTATTAATATGTGGAGTAGTAGAAGTAGCAGTAGTAGTAGAAGCAGTAGTAGAGGTAGTATTATTAGAAGTAGTATTAATAGTATTAATAAAAAATGATAGCATTTTGAAAGGCTGCACTTCTATTTCATTGATTACGATAACAATTTCCTCCTTGATTGTTGCAGTAACTACCTTCCAGAAGATTTTGAAGTATATTTCCAATCAGAATAGGTTTTTCATACATTGGCAGATATATATTTAAAAAAATAATAAAATATAGTAAATGTTTTTTTACCACAGGCAGTAAAAACACTAAAATATATAAGATGAGAGAAGCCGTGGAAAGGCATGTAATTATGTTGGGTTATCTCTGAGTTATCAAATTTTATTTTGCAGGTGAATAAAATTCAAGATCGCATTGATGGACTCGTAAAGGACTCGGCATACATGAAAGTTCTGATGCCAATTAAATGGAGAACATTTTTAACTGAAATAGAGGACAGTGATCGAAAGACTCTGACAGTGACAGAGGTAAGCAGAGCGGAAATCGTTGCATTCTTTGTGCAGTCATGGAAAAAAATGATGCACACAGTCATGGAAAAAAATAACCCTCCCTTTTCCTGCCTTATACTCTTGTACAGCTGAATCGCCAGATAAGAAAGAAAATCGTTTTGCAAGTGCAGGCTAGCAGTGTAGCACCAGATAGGGAACTAAACATTAACATATTTTTATCCCCTCGCCGACGAAGTTGGAAGTGATATAATATTCCTTCCTTCCGTGCGTCCGTAACAAATTTGGTTTAATAATAATATTGGATTCTTATATAGCGCACGTATCGACCTTGCAAGGTCCTCAAGGCGCTCCAACATTACCCGGCTATGCTAGGCTGTGATTCACAGTCCGACGACTTATCCACTACGTAATGTTTGACGGATTTTAATGAAATTTGATATGAAGGTACATAATATATCAAAATATAGAGTAAATTAGATTTTGGAGTATGTAGGTCAAGGTCATAGCTCATTAAACATGCGAAAAAATACACATCTGGTTTCTGATCGATAACTTTAGTAATGTTTGATGGATTTTAATGAAATTTGATATGAAGGTACATGGTATCAAAACACAGCCTAAGTTCAATTTCCAAGCATGTAGGTCAAAGGTCATAGCTCATTAAATATGCGAATCTGGTTTCCGATCCATAACTTTAGTATTGTTTGATGGATTTTAATGAAATTTGATAGGAAGGTTCCTGGTATCGAAACACAGCCTACCGTAAGTTTGATTTTGGATTATGTAGGTCAAAGGTCATAGCTCATTAAATATGCGAATCTGGTTTCCCATCTATAATTTTAGTATTGTTTGATGGATTTTAATGAAATTTAATATGAAGGTTCATGGTATCAAAACACAGCCTAAGTTCGATTTCGAGGAAGTAGGTTAAAGGTCATAGCTCATTAAATATGTGAACCTGGTTTCCATTCGATAACTTGAGTAATGTTTGACAAATTTTAATGAAATTTAATATGAAGGTATGTGGAATAAAAAAACATGTACAGCCTAAGTTTGATTTCTGAGTATGTAGGTCATAGGTGAAAGGTCATAGCTCATTAACTATGCAAAAACACCTAATTACATATGTGAAAATGTGGTTAACTTCCTTGCGTAGTAATATAATAGTATAGTCCAATGGAGGTAACTTGTTCTGAGGTATATAGGCCATTTGTACCCTGCGAGGGGATGCTACAATGTATGCTTTGCGTTGACTTGTTTCAATAGCTTTGCAATGAGAATATGGCACTAGTAGAAGCACCTTGTTATCACAATATCTCAAGAACCACTTCAGGTATAAACTTCAAACTTGGTGATAATGTGTATCACTGTAGGAAGACAATCTCATTAGATTTCGGGATGTGTAGGTCTAAGGTCATAGAGGTCAAATTTCTTCAATTAAAGGTATATCGTTGTTATTACAACATCTCAAAAACCACTTGAGGTATGAACTTCAAACTTAGGGATAGTGTGTCCCACCCTAGGAAGACCATCTGATTAGATTTTGAAGTAAGCAGATCAAAGGTCATAGATGTCAATGGTTGAAATTACAGGTATCAGCTTTGATATTGCAATATCTCAAGAACAACTAGAGGTTTGGGCTTCAAAAATTGTGATACAATGTAATTTGTATCATGATGGGAAGACCACCTACCGTAAATAGATTAAAGGTGCTTGTCCGATCTCCTTTGGCTAGACAAATATCTATGTTTGCCACTCTCCACCAAGGTGTTAAATGGGTACCGGTAAGAAGGAATTCATTGAATTTGGTGAGCACAGAAAACTAGCCTTCCAGAGCCGGGATAATGTTGGAGTGCCTTGAGCACCTTGTGGGGTGGATATGTACGCTAAAAAATATCCAATGTTATTACATTATTATCTTTATTATTAGTATTATTATTATTATCATTATCATTATCATTATCATCATTATCATCATTACCGGTATCATTATTATAACTGTAAATTGCACACATGTTTTAAGATGTTTTATCACTTAGTGCCTTAACTTTATGAACCCCAAGAAGATGAAAATAAATTGAATGAAATATATGTATAAACAAAATACAGGAAAATCTGAAGAACAGACGCATGATATTTTATGGAATGCCCAATATTGAACATTGCATTGATGATAAGAGAGCTTTCCGGATGTTAACGCTATTCGGTACATATAACACAATTGGTCAGACTTGTTTCAATTATTTTCTTACACAGGCACACTCAACAATGAAAACTTTGGGAATCAACGACCTCAAAGAAGTGTATGCCATTCTAAAGTTCTACCATGACATAGGACACCTCATATATCATGAGGGATGTGAGCTTATTGTACTTAAGCCACAGTTTCTGAACAGCATCGTCAGTAATATCATAACAGTCATGGATGACAAGACAATGGTTCGAAATATTGTTTACTTTCGTTTTAAATTGTGTAATAAATATTCAAAGAGAGAAGAAAAGTAGAGGAATAAAAGATAAGAAATAAAGAATGGGAGGAAGGAAATGTAAAAAGAGAAAAACAAAGTTAGAAATTGATTTAATGTTGTACTGTTTGATTCATTGCTCTGAGGATGTGGGGGCGCGAACATGTGTGTGTGTGTGTGTTTGTGTGAATATATTACATACAAGCACACACACAACACACACGGTGACAATTTCACAATTTCCCCTTTTCTGATTAAGCATTGATTTATATCATGATCACTGAATGTTTAAGTGGCATAACCCTGACAATCTTTCCCTTTAGTGCACATTCACTACCACCATCATTTAATCATCATCATCATCATGAAGCACAACATCCGCCAATGTGCGCTAAAAGGACAGCGACCACTCAACTTTTTGTACAAGAAGGATCATTCCCAACAAAAAGTAACAGTTTGGGTGGGCCTTGTCGGGAATGGAACGCTCATTCAAACCCTTGATTAAATATTCATACTTCAAACAATACAACTCTTAAAAAGTGGGACATTTTTGTGACTTACTCTGTATATGTATATCATACCCAGCTAAACAAAGAGGTGACAGCACTTCTGCCTTTGCGACATTCTACAAAATCCTACCCTTGTTTTTATTAATGAATTTTTCTGAATTTGACTGATAAACAATAAGCTTTCTTTTACGCATGCAGAACTTTAGTATTCGATTAAAAACACACATCAACACTTTGGGAACACCACAACACTTTCTGTTCAAAGGAAATCATTTTTCAGTGTTTATTTTTTGCTTTTGTGTTACTCTTAACTTTTACAGGGATGCCTAAATGAAGATTGGTATGATATGAAATGCAAATTTCTTGACATTTCAAAGTTTGATTTGATCATGTGTAGAATCATAGAAACTTTTCATCAATGACCCTGCCCTGGCAGCAACCACAGCATAACACACCCTGGGAATCCGGCTGGCTAGCTTGTGGAGGTATTCACTGGAAATGTCTTGCCATGCCTTCTGAAGAATCAACCACAAATGAGGCTCACTAGTTTGTCATTTTTCTCGGACCCTCCTGTCCAGCTCTTCCCATAGCAGCTCCATTAGATTCACATCTTGAGACTGGCTTTCAGGATCCCCTTCTCTTTTTTTTTTCTCCAGGGAGATTTTACACAGCTTCAAGGAATATTTTGGGTTGTTGTTCTGCTGGTAGACGAATGTCTGATTGAGGACCAATTTTTTTTCCAGCAGGGCAATGACCCCAATTATTCCAAAGCTGTTTAAAAAAAAATACATGTACCTGTAGAAAATAAGAAAAGAAATGGGTCCTGAAACTTTGTATTACCTTTAAGCTAGTACTCTAATTTTTCTTATTTTGACCAGCACTGGCAATATGTACATTTTGAAAACATTTTTGAAATAATTATATGCTCAATATTTCTTTACCTTTCATTATAAACTAGGAGGAGGGCCTAGCCAAATATTGGAGAGATCTCATGGAAAAGGGTATCCTTAGTATAGAATTGATCGAAGCTGTCTGGGAGCAACATAAAGGAGACCATGATCAGCTTGATGACATTATCGAGATGATGATTACATTTGATCTGATCTGTGAAATACCCGATAGGCCTGATGGGGTAAGATGTAAACACGCTTTGAAATCCATAGTTTCAGTGGAGATGGTCCTCCGATCATCAGTCTTTTACACAAATATATTTTTCCATCAGGAGCCATTAACTGATTAAGGGAAGGCAATGAATGATAAGGTAAACTGTAATCAACATAACAGTATATAATCCAAACTTCACTTATTAATGTATGAGACAATTCTCGCTACCCCAAATAGCGATTCTGCCGAGATCCGGGGAAAATCCTGAAAACGCGCATTGCATTATGGGATAGCTTTTCGACATTACAGCTTCCTGTGCAGGCGTTCGTGATCACAACCCTCTCTTTCACGGTAGAGTTTAACGGCCTTTTGTGCTAAAGTCACTAATTCTGCCCGAAGCTTTTCATTGCATATTATAATCTGTACAAATTACACTGATTGGCATCGATTTTAGCGTGCGTGAAAACTCTGCACAGCGAACACAGGCGCTAGCGCCAGCGGGATGGGACTCTATACCGGAAGTTGTAGTGACGACCCGAGAGAGTGAAAATTACCTCGTCTCGCGAATTTCGAGATTTTCGTACCTATTTAGGGTAGCGAGAATTTAAAGCCTTTTATTAGGTCATCTAAGGGCCCTCAAGGACTACCACATGTGACTCCCTTAACTGTAATTTACTAAAAAAGTGTACTTCACATCTTTCATAATTACAGCATTCATAAAACGATATGCATTAAAATCATGTACTGTACTACAACATTGAAATACTCATCTTATTTCAATAGAGAGGGTTCTTCGTTCCCTGTCGTTCCTCTCCTATGCTTGATGAGAAGGAATGTCATGACAAAGACAATGAAGTCAAATTTACCATTGACTTCAATCACTTCTTACCAGGTTGGTTTATTTTTCTTTACCTATTAGAAAGAGCGTTTTGTTTAATTTTGAAATCTAATATTGTAAGGGATAATATCATAAGCTACTCGTTATGCAGTCCAGACTCGAAGAGAATGACAAAGTTGTGAGGATAATCTGCTGTGACTGTAGGGATCCTACCTATTAAAAAAAGTACCTATTACACAAGGATATCTTTAAATTCCTGTATTGTATATACATTATACTTCTAGAAATAAGTCACTTTATTCATATCAGCCAAGTTACTGCCATCAGGAGATTGTAGAAAGAGGCACAACAAAAGGACATGTATGTTTACTGATGCTGAACTTGCTTGATAATTCTTCTAAATAATTCGCCCACATAATATATGCACTACCACAACCCCTACGCCTAACCTGAGAGTCAACATTAAGATCAATGAGGGAACCATTTAGGCATATGCGCGAGATACTTTAGTAGGGCCTGTGTTTTTTTTAACAAAATTGTTTTTTTTTTTTTGCTTTCTTATTAGTTTCAAACATGTACTTGAATATTATTTTATCAAAATTATTGTTGCTATTATTATTCTATTGTTATAATTATCATTCTTGTTGCAGTTATTACTACAATTATTATTTTATTATTACTATTACTCTTAATACTGCTATTACTATTACAATTATAATTATCATGACTATTATCATAATCATCTTCATCATCATTGTTGTCGTTCCCGTTCTTATTACTATCATATTTTTATATCCATAAGTTTGTATATTCTGTAGAAGTAACCAGTCGATTCTGAATTTCAAAATTCCAAATCTTTATGATGTTGGGAATCCGTTGTTATTTGATAGACGGTTTCTTACACCGGTTCTATGTTCGAATGGCAAAATGGTCTATGGAGAGAAAGGAGTCTATCAAACCAATTTTCCACTGCAGGCAAATGGTGTTCTATATTGACAATCGTCATAGAGTGGTGATGACAAATGAGATCCACAGTAAAGAGCGTCATCAAATTAAGGTAGGACTACGTGTACCACTATCACATACATGTTGATGTTATACTGTTGTTTGATAGTATGCAAATAATTACCGTTGGTGAAAGTGATGGGACAAACTATCACTTTTGAGGCGATCTGGATGTAGCTATCTTTCCGAAGCGAAGCTGAGGAAATATAGCGTATACATTCAGATTGCCAAGGAAGTGATAGTTTGCCATCGCCTGAAACCAAAAGGTGATTATTTGCTTTATATTCCACATCGGAAACATTTCACTTTTTCTGTCATTTTAGAGCAACAAGTCTAGTCATCAATTAACATCTAGCAAACGGTGTACGAAACGTACAGTGTATGCAGTATGGTGGTGTGACCATAGTTCGTGCGTGACCAAAGTTCGCGTACTAACACTAAAAGCGCTTAAAGAGGAGAGCAATACACAACGTATACAATTATAGTGTGTTGCACTGACTGTGTAGATAGTAGTACTATCTACACAGTGTAACAAACTTTTGGCTTCTCCCAAAGCGCAATGATGGGCGAACTATCATTCATCACATGATTTACTTTTAACCAATCGTAGAGCAAGATTATTTATATTATTTATTTATAAATATATATCTGAGTTAATCAAATAATGTTAATAATTGTAATGTAACATCTATTGTGCGTCTACATATAATATCGTAAAACATCAACATGATCAGTGAATTGCTATGGGTGACGTTCCCTAATAACGTTTCAAGAAAAATGTACATATTACCCCCTCAGAAAAGCGGAGTATAGGTCTGTCTGATCTTCGTGATTTTTATAAAAATGGATACCGTAGCTAATAAAGATAGTGATTCAACCTTTTTGGGGGTGACATGAAACTACTTTACCCTTGATATATCCATATAATTCTTAAGTGCAGTAGCCTCTTATCCCTCTAAAACCCAGGTAATATAATAATAGAATTTTGTAGATATACCTGTAAAATTTCACCATTTAAGCCAACATCTTTGATTTAATTCAATTCAATTCAATTTATTTGTTTGCACATTTGATAAAAATCACAATAACAAACATACACATTACAAGTCAATTCCAACAAATAACAACAGAAGTATCAAAATGTGGGGGACAAACAAAGGCCAAAGGCCTCTCAAAGCCTGTCCTAAACTATATAAGTAATTAAATATAAATCAAGTAGTACAACAGGAGGAAAGAGAAAAAACAAGGCAAACCCTCTTTACAGACTCAGAGGGTGTATGATCGATTGATTAGATCTATATATTTAAAAAAAACTAGATAATACAATTGCTTGTTTTCATCTTATCCTGGTGTCTTGATAGGTTACGATATATGCAGTGACCCCAGCCGGTGCACCATCCGGGCGAACAAAGGCCAGAGTCAGCTTGAATGAGAACGTAAGTATTAACCCTGAAAGGGGGAGGCAGAATCGACCCACCCCTGACACATGCTGTGATACATTCAAGGATCTTTCCTTTACCCTTAAGCATCTTTTGATAGAAAATTTATAAAATTCTGACCAACAGCGTCAAAAAATTGTGGCTAAAGTGGCAATTTCCCCATATGTATTAGTCGATAAGCAATAATTCAAAAGCAATTTAAGACATAGATATGAAACTTCATGGGCTTATCCTTTATTTTCGCACCATGTTTCAGAATTATTTGTCACTCCCTAAGGCGAGGCGTCAAAAATAAATATACCAGCCAGCGGCAGCTAACTGCACTTGTGCGTCCTGGCTGCAATTTTTAAATTAGCTCAGCCGGCTACCGCTGGCGGTATGACCCTCAATTAACTCATGATGTCATCATAATGGTCTCCGAACAAAAGCATGCGCCGGCTGCCGCCTTTCGAATGGAAACCGAGCCTCAGAGCCCAGCCTGGCGCAAGCCGGCTGGGCTAATAAGTGAAAAATAATTGCCCCATCCAGGCTTCGGCCGTAATTGCAGCCTCGATGCGCCAATACGTGAGGCGGCAGCCTGCTGGTATCGATATTTTTGACGCCTCGCCTAAGCTAGCTGAGATCGCCTCTGCTGAGGAGCACCAAAATGACCCAGCCTTTTTAGGATCTGGCAGCATTAGTAATAAAATAATCTTAAAAGACTTTCTCATGACTAGGCACTATGCCCTTGTTCCAAGTGCAACCATCCTTGGGTTGGGGATGCTCTTTGGCCACATCCATGTTATTTGGTCACAGGTGAGCGAGACATAATTAATATTACCTTACTTTTTACAAACTATTGATTAATATCTTTAATAGTGGCCTACACCTACTACCCATTGGTATATGATTCATTATGGTAACATAAATTATACAGAATCTGGTTAGCGTACACAAATTATTGTCTGCTGCAAGTAGTACAAACGAGAGCCGTGATGTAAAGTTGCCTTTTTACTCTGGAGTTTCCAATTTTCATGAAATTTCTCACCACACAACTTTATTTCATTAATATCAGTCATCAAACCCTTTGTATTGATATGTCACAGTGTTTAGTGTTTTATCATGCTGTAGTAAATGTTTTTTTTCTTCATTGGTTTAGATTATTGACCATGTCCATGAAACACTGGAGGTACTCAAAAAGCTATGGGCAAGAAGGATAGAATATTCTGTTGGAATATTGTGTCCAAAATGTTCTGAATGCGACGTTAAGGCATTGATACCCATTCGAGATATCCTTAAATGCCCGGAAGATAGTGCTTCTTGTGATGAACTTTGCTCAATATATGTTGGTCATATCCTGAAAGCATTTAAAAAAGGTTAGTATTAAACTCCTTCTAAACTTACACATATATGCAACACTCACTTATACGTACTACTAGGTCGAGCGTGCTCGCACTGATTTGACAAGCTTTTTCCATTCGGTTCTATTCTCCATGATCTTTGGGAGCTCCTGTCTTGGTAGACAGGTGTCTTTTTCTAACTGGTCAATGTAAGTCATTGCTGGGCGCCCTCTGGTGCGTTTGCCCCTTGAGGGCTCCCAGAAGAGCATTTGTGAAATGATTTCACTCTTGCTCCTCCAGCAGTGCCCACTGAAACGGAGGCGACGGTCTCTCAGTCTGGCTGAGATCGGTGTAATGTCCCTATACTGTATAGTTCAATATTGGTCATATGGTCACTCCAGTTGACATTTAGTGCTGCTCTCAAGAGTCTTGTATAGCAACCATCCAGTTTTGCCAGGCTACTCGTCAATGTCCAGGCTTCTGATCCATAGAGCAGTACAGTTTCCACTGAAGCCCTAAAGAAACGGACTTTCAGTTTTCTCCCGAGGTTTGATTTTCCAAAAGGCTGTCAGCTTGTTCAAAGCCGTCCAGGCTTTTTGCCTTTCGGATATTCAGGTCTTGTTTTGACTGATCAACCCACGAGCCAAGGTACTGAAAGTCTTGGACCTGCTTCAGCTTTGTCCTGTCAGCAGTACAGATCTCGCCTTCACGAAGGTTGTACATCATGAATTCTGTCTTAGTACTGTTTATTTGTAGACCGACTTGGCTTGCTGCAGACTCCACTTGTTCTAGGAGCTTCTGTGCCTTTTCCAGATTGTCTGAGATTAGTGCAATATCATCAGCAAAGTCGCTATCTGTGATCATTTCAGCAGGATATCTGCTACTTTTCCTTTCCTGTAGGGTGAAGCCTAGATCCTCGAACCCTTCAGTAGCCTTCTTAGAGCATAATCCAATGCTATGATGAATAGGTATGGTGCTAAGGTATCTCCTTGAAGCACTCCTGCTAAGATGGTAAAGGAATCAGTCTCTCCATCTGGTGAACGTACTTGAGCTGTGGTATCTTTGTACATCACTCCTACTGCAGACAGCTGTAACTCTTGTGTGTGGTATTCCATAGGCTCTTAAGATCTCTAACATCTTCTTCCTATTGATTGAATCAAAGGCCTTCTTAAAATCCACGAACGTAAGCACTGCTGTCAGATGCTTTGCTTTAATACCTTCCACCAGTCTTCGCAAAGTTAGAATTTGCGCTACTGTAGATCTTCCTGGACAGAATCCATTCTGGTTCTTGAGGAGAAGGGGTTCCAGATGAGGACAGATTCTATTCAAAAGCATTTTGTTGAATACTTTTGCAGCTACTGGGGTCAGTGCTATGCCACGGTAGTTTTAAGGGGTACTGAGATCTCCCTTTTTGGGTACAGGGATTATTATGCTCCTAGACCACAAGTCTGGTTTCTCGCCATGGATAAGTGTTCTGTTGCATACTTCCAGAAGCTGTTGGTCAAGGGCACCAGACTTCCATACCTCTGCTGGGATTCCATCCACACCTGGGCATTTATTATTGGAGAGGGAGGTAACTGCCACTTTGAGTTCTCCAATGGTAAATTTGCTTGTTTTGATTGGGAGTGTCTTTTGGACCATCTTCCTCAAATACTGGGTTGTTGTTATCTGGTGGAGGTTGACCAAGTAGATTAGAAAAGTGATCTTTCCACTGGTTTAGTCTCTCTTGTGGTGTTTTACCTCTAAGCTGATCCACTGGGGTCGAGGCCTTTCCAGTGATCTCTTTCACAATATTCCATACTTTCCTAGTCTGCTGTTGGACTGCACCAATCTCGATCTCAGTGCATTTTTTAGCTATGTAATTTGACTGCTCTTCGTCAAGTGTTTCTGCATGTTCGGCAGTTGGTGCGCCATTCTTTTTATTATATGCTACTTTAAGGCATTTCCGTTCCTCCCTGATCTTTTCGTTTTCCCATGGCACCCGTTTCTTCTTGCCCTTTCTCTTTGATACGTATTTTGTGGCTGCTCCTTCGTGAGCTTCTATCAGTGCGGAGTAGATCTCATTCGCTGTAGGATTCTTGATGTCTTGATACAATGCCTCAAATCTGTTGTTGACCTCCACTGTATATGCTTCCTTAATATCTGATTTAAAGAGCTGCCAGTCATGAGGAAGATTTGATTTGGCTTTTACCTTCTTGTTGCTTCTCGAGCTTATACATACCGGTATTCACTTATATGTATGTACCGGTATACATTTGTATATTGTGCTTTCCTGACATAAACCATAATGGACTTACCTTTTTATGAATTTAAATCTTCTATCTTTTCATCTTTTCTCTTTCTTTGAAATAAAGATATTGGAACAACAAGAACAACAGTAGAATCACAAGCGGCAGGGGTGTCAACATTATCAAAGTACGTAACTAATCTATATTTTATTTTGAAAAGAAGGCTGTGTTCTTTAAACATATTTGTGGCTTACACCCCGTAAATAAAGATTGCATGCCCGATCTGGAATTGAAAAACAAGTCAGAAAAAGGCTTGGAACCAGCGAGATTTGAACCTGCCAGCTACTGCTCCCCACCAGGCCGTCACTGGTCCATTACTGGGTGTAAGCCACAAATATGTTTAACAATTGGAATTTCTCCCATGAAGCATTACATTTATAAAAGGCTGTGTTCTGGTGAAAATGGAGAAAAAATTGTAAGCTTTCACGGGATTGCTTTTCAAATTCCATCTTTGAAATATTACAATAACAGAAAGTTTGGACCAAATATGTGTGTGTAGTGCATGTGTTATTCAGCAAGAATTAGTCCATCTTTTAATTTGTATCATTCCAAAATCTCACTATATACATTGATTTGTATGTATTACATAATCAACCTTCCCCAATTGCTCAAGATCTCAAGATCAGTGGTAAACTTTGTTTAGGTTTTTTGTTTTAGGCATGCTTCTTTTATTGTAATAATTCAGTATTTGTTTATTTTTTTTAAATAATTGATATTGATAATATAAATGATAATTATAATGAAAGTAATAATAATAATAATGCTAAATATATTACTCATTGCGGATATAGTATCGAAAATAATATCGCTAGTGAAATTCGTTTGTCTCGCAATGTGGTCAATAAGGAATCTAAAAGTTCACTACGTTTCGTGTGCATCTGCAACACTACATCTGGTGATAATAACTACTGTAAGCAAGGGTCTTTTATACTCTACGGGAGGACCGGCGGAGCGGTCCATAATTCGATCGATAATTGGAACAATAACGCACAATGCCTATTGGTCGACGCACACGGTGATCGACCAATCACCAGGCCGCTGGATTCGGCCGCTGGTTCGGCTAATGCACCAGTCCAATAGGGTCGACCAATAGGCATTGTGCGTTATTGTTCCAATTATCGATCGAATTATGGACCGCTCCGCCGGTCCTCCCGTAGAGTATAAAAGACCCTTGCTTACAGTAGTTATTATCACCAGATGAAGTGTTGCAGATGCACACGAAACGTTGTGAACTTTTAGATTCCTTATTGACCACATTGCGAGACAAACGAATATCACTAGCGATATTATTTTCGATAATAATAATTATTATTATTATTATATAATAATAAGTGATTATATTGAAGAAAAAAAACTTATGAGAATGATATTAATAACAATAATAACAATGACAATAATGATAATATTATTAATGACGATAGTGGATTTTAGCAATAAATCAATGTATCTACCTATTATTTGCTAGTTTCCCTCAACTACGCAGCCGTCGAGAACTAAAAGTCACATCTGCGCACGCCCGCCATCTTCCTCTTCTTTTCTCGCACGCCAAGAGAACATGACAGCTAAGTCACTTGTATCAATTTCGAGGATTTTATCCTTTTTTGACGCAGTTTGGTGTGTCTTGCATATCTGTTTCCATGCTCCTTTTAATTGCGTTTAAATTGGGGGTACGGGTTCCCCGTCACTTTTCTTTATTTAGGCAGATTGATAACTTTCATTTCTGCCCTGCATTTCCTACTTTCGCGTCCGCATTGCAGACTTTGTTTCAACCGCTTGGCTGAGCGTTCTGTCTCGGCTTAGCGCCTCATTGTTAGTGCGGAAGAGGTTGATCATCGTGGTAGTACAATAAGAGTATAAGTTGATCTGTTGTCACACGAAGAGAGCAAACGAGGGTTGCGACGTTTCGACTGCTAACTGCTAGTCTTCGTCAGGCAATGTGGACAATCGCCGCTGCAAGCGTCTTTTTCCGAGGGTGCCAGAACTGCTGCGCTGCTATTGGTCAGTGAAATCGACCAATCAGAAACCGCGACCAGTGGGCGGGATGCGGATGTCGGGGAAACCCCGTCAGTGACGGGCGGTGCTACTGGTGGGCGAAATGAGGAGGAGGTAGCGTCAGAAACTGTGCTATCCGGTGGTGTGGCCGTAGGGCGGCGGGCAACGGAAGGGGGCGCGTGTCAGCGGATGGTGGGAAGCCATTCCTCCGGGATGTCAATGCCGTTATCTCTATTGATATTATTGGTGTGTAAACAGATTTTGATAGTTCTTTAACACGCCATGTGTACCAGTACTTATCCCGCGCTATACAGCTCACCTCATCCCAATTGGGATAATAAAATATATATGCGACGGTGCTTGACATCTCTGCGGTGCTCTAGCATTCTTTCGCTGACGGGTCTACCCGTTTTTCGCCGATGTAGACCTTGTCGCAAGTCCCGCATGGGATCTTGTAGACAACGCCGTCGAGTCTTCCGGGTAGCACGGGGTCCTTCGGGTGGACCAGCTGGTTACGAATAGTGGTGTCGGACTTGAAAACGGCGCATATGCTATGCTTCTTTAGGTGTCGGCGGAGCTGGCGAGAAATAGAATCGACAAACGGAAGAACGACGGTAGACTTATAATTCACAACTTCCTTATCGGTGGCGTTCTTCTTAGTGACTCATTGTTGTTTGGGGCTTTCCGTTTAGCTAAGCAGATAGTTTATTCATCCACGTAGCATCCCAACTTAGCTTGTGCGGCCTTTGCTCGTGTTTTGTTCGGATTTGTTATCGTGCATGCCTTTTGGTTTGAGTGTTATTTCGTGAAAAATTTTATTTGAGATTTTTTTGTCTGTGGAATTAAAGGTAATACAAAGTTTTGGGAAATTTTGAAATTGGGTTGGTAGTGATTCTTTAAAATGTTGATATATTTGGATGCCCGTGTGGATGTATTATAAGCACTAGAAAATTTAGCCCATAAGACACTTCTGCTTTCGAGAAAAATAGAATATAAAAATTTACCGGTGCTCCCGGTAAATTTTGATAAATTTCAAATAGCGCCTACGGCTGTGCAATGGTAGCTGCGACAATGAAAATCTCAGAATATGTAGATGTGATATATAATTTGCAAACGGGAATAGCTAATCGGTCGATTTTAGTCAAGAAACATTGTTTTATAGCTTAATTAATATATTGACCTTGAGAGGGAGCTATACAACATAAAGAGTGTATTATTTACAATTCCATAACTTTCGACTCGATTTCAACTCACTGAATATTGTAGGATCGATATATGCTTCCAATATGTTCATTTGAACCAAATTCATGTCCCAATACCAAAACTTTGTATTACCTTTAAAGTGAGCACTGAGTTTATTTCGCTCTCGTTTTCTTTGTTTGGATTTTCTCTTTGTTCAGGTTTGTCATGGATTTCACTGAACTTAGTACCCGTACCTCTCCTCCTGCAAGTGAGGCTTCTGGGGGTGTGAGTGGGAAGCCGACATCTCGCTCGGGTGTTGTCTTCCCGGGCGTGTCGGCCGTGGTTAAGTGAGGGACGGCTGGTAACGGCTCTCGGACAACTTCTGTGATGTTTGTCGACTCGGCTCCTCTCGGCATTACAACTACTACTGGGACCTGTGGTCCCGGCAAGGGGGAAAGTCGGTTTGCGGGCCTAAAGCCGCGGCCGCACTATCTTTGCTCCAGCCAGTGATCTGTGCATAAGTGATTCCACTGCACTCTGTGCAGTCCTTGAAAACTCAGGAGCTGGCTCCAGCCGTCACAGACGGGTAGTTGCAGGTTGAAAAAGACTATCCGACTGCCCCTGCTTTGCAGGGCCTGTCCGACAAGTTTGAGCTGTCGACTTGAGTGAATCTGCCACCCCGTGCGGCCTTGATAACTCCGGAGTCAGCTCTCTCCCATCACAGACAGTTGGCTACGAGAAAAGCAAAATATAAAAATATCTGACCGCCCTGCTCTGCAAGGCCTTTCCGATATGATGACGCGTTGCTCAAACTGGTAATCGGTTTCGGTCCAGCCCCGGATTGCTGATGCGGATGTCATTTCTGTACTGGATCCGGTGGATATCTGTATCTGGCCCTGGGTTGCCGGTTCGGTACTCGGATCCGGCTTTTGGTTCTCGGTTTGGTTATCGGTGCCGTTCCCGGGTTTCCCGGTTCCGGTTCTGGTTTTGCTGGGTTCTGGGTTGCCAGTTCTGTTTTCTGATCTGGTCCCCGGATTTCCGATTCAGAGATCTGGCTCGCGGTGGCCCGTTACGGGTGATTGTGAGCCGTAAGAGATTATCCGAAAGCCCTGAGTGACTCAGCTAGTGCAATTGCAGCCACATTCAGCTCGATAATGTTACCCCGAAATGGTATATTTGACACAGGGCGATAGCTCCGCAGATCATTTCTATCTAGTGACGCTTTATTGATGACTGATATCACTAGCGCTTCTTTGAGATCTGTAGGAAAGACACCACTAGACAGAACCTTGTTCGTAAGGTGAACAAGTTCAGGAAGTACAACTCTCAGATGTTTCTTTAACAGCCATGTTGGTAGAGGGTCAAGGGAGCAGCTCTTTGAAGATGAACTTTTGATATTCTCCACTTCACTCTCAGATACTTCCCCCATGTCAATGGGTAAAAAGCACAAGCACAAGGTTATTTCTAGCCGCTCAGGCTGGGCTTCATGGCTTTATGATGCGTAAGTTCGGGTTGACTGGGGTTACCAGTAGATCCGAAAGGCATCAGGGGCTCAGACGGAGGCTCAGCTCCTAGCCCTTCCTGTGCCTTGGCCGGCAATAAGCCGGCCCCGGTCACACCTGGCTCTAGTTGCCTGGTGCGCTGTTGGCCTTCCACCCTGTGCCGTCGGCCTGATGGTGAGAGTTGGGCCTGTAGCTCCTGCTGCCCTTGGTGCTCCTCCAGGTAGGGAGTCGGCAGCTGCTTTGGGTGCCTTCCCTCACCAGTGGGGATTGGTGCACCGAGCCCTTCAGTCTGACTGGGGCTTTTTCTTGGGTTTGTCTTCGGCATCTGCAAAGGGGTTTCAGTTGAGTTCACCCCTCAACAGAAAGGTTTCGGTCACACGTAAGCTTCTTGCACCAAGCTCTTTCAGCCTGTGATGCGGTGAGACGTGGTAGTGATGACCATGCTGAGCCTGTAGCTAAATCTACCAGCTTTAGCGAGGCCCTTAAGCAGGCTTCATCACTTGACGCTTCGGTGAGGGGTAAGAAATATTTAGCCTTCTGATGTCTCCGACTGTGACTTGGACGGAGTGGAATGTGGTAAATTTAGACCTCAGCCTGCCTTCTCTTCAGCCGATCAGACTTATCTTCTTGCTGTGTCAAAGCACCTTGTTAGGCAACAGGGTACACCCTGGTCCCATCAGTCATCCGGGGGGGGAGGTGAGGGCATGACTCAGGCCCCGGGTGTGTCTTGTCTGAGCCTAGTTACACTTGTCTGGTGAATTCCCAAACCCAATTTAGTTTCGGGAACCGTCTTGCCAAGCTTGGCCTCTGAGAGGCTCTGTACTGTTGCTAGCCCTGGGTTTTTTGCCTGTTGTTGGTGGCTAGGCTCTCTTCTCCCACTACCCTTGCTAGTCCTCCAAGGGAAGAGAAGGTAGCTGGATCGGGACTCGCCCTTCCCTTCTGGGATATGGATTTTCTGGGTTGCGGTCCTGTCTGAGACCCTATCTCGCAGTTGGCTTCAGCATCTGTGATCGGTTCTCAGTGTAGCTAAGCCCTGCAGGGGAACCAGTCCTCGAGGACTGTTGCGGGGGCTTCTCTTTGGAGTTATCTCTCGGACATAATTCCCCAGCTAACCCTGAGGGTAATCAGAGTCCTTCGCTGTTGTTTTGAGGCCATGAGCTCCTTGGCGGGTTTCCCGTTTCCTCCGGGTTTAAAATCAGTGATTTCGGATTTCTGTCTTTTTTGGGAGGACGTCCTTTCCCTCTCCCGTTGAGGCTGGACCTGGTGTCCCAGCCTCTGTCGACCTCCTACATCTTCGTCCCACGGTGCTCTCTCTGACCGTCCGGCCGTTGTCTGGGACGTCGCAGAGGCAGAGGAAGATGGCGGGCATGTGGTGCACTTGACCCTGGGAAGGTGATGTATTGGGGTGGGGCATGCGCGGATGTGACTTTTTAGTTCTCAACGGCTGCGTAGTTTAGGGAAACTAGCAAATAATAGGTAGATACATAGGTTTATATAGTTAATAATAAAATTTGTTCTAATTTTTCTGGTCTGTCAAACTGGACACTTGTGGGGCTCCACACTTACTCCCATAAATATTAAGTGACACCATCAGCTGGCAAAGATTGTATTAATCATTCTTTCATTCCTCAGGTATGATCCAGAATCAGATGAACACTATCCAAGAAGGACATTACCACCATCAGACAACCCTCAACAGCAACCCATGGTTGATGTACACTATCCAAGAAGGACATTACCACCATCATACCACCCTCAACAGCAACCCATGGGTGATGTACACTATCCAAGAAGGACATTACCACCATCAGACCACCCTCAACAGCAACCCACAGGTGATGTACACTATCCAAGAAGGACACTACCACCATCAGACCACCCTCAACAGCAACCCACAGGTGATGTACACTATCCAAGAAGGACACTACCATCATCAGACCACCCTCAGCAGCAACCTATGGGTGATGTACACTATCCAAGAAGGACATTACCACCATCAGACAACCCTCAACAGCAACCCATGGTTGATGTACACTATCCAAGAAGGACATTACCACCATCATACCACCCTCAACAGCAACCCATGGGTGATGTACACTATCCAAGAAGGACACTACCACCATCAGACCACCCTCAACAGCAACCCATGGGTGATGTACACTATCCAAGAAGGACACTACCATCATCAGACCACCCTCAGCAGCAACCCATGGGTGATGTACACTATCCAAGAAGGAATTTACCACTATCAGACAACCCTCAACAGCAACCCATGGTTGATGTACACTATCCAAGAAGGACATTACCACCATCAGACCACCCTCAACAGCAACCCATGGGTGATGTACACTATCCAAGAAGGACATTACCACCATCAGACCACCCTCAACAGCAACCCATGGGTGATGTACACTATCCAAGAAGGACATTACCACCATCAGACCACCCTCAACAGCAACCCATGGGTGATGTACACTATCCAAGAAGGACATTACCACCATCAGACCACCCTCAACAGCAACCCATGGGTGATGTACACTATCCAAGAAGGACATTACCACCATCAGACCACCCTCAACAGCAACCCATGGTTGATGTACACTATCCAAGAAGGACATTTCCACCATCAGACCACCCTCAACAGCAACCCATGGGTGATGTACACTATCCAAGAAGGACATTACCACCATCAGACCACCCTCAACAGCAACCCATGGGTGATGTACACTATCCAAGAAGGACATTACCACCATCAGACCACACTCAACAGCAACCCATGGGTGATGTACACTACCCAAGAAGGACATTTCCACCATCAGACCACCCTCAACAGCAACCCATGGGTGATGTACACTATCCAAGAAGGACATTACCACCATCAGACCACCCTCAACAGCAACCCATGGGTGATGTACACTATCCAAGAAGGTCATTACCACCATCGGACCACCCTCAACAGCAACCTATGGATGATGTACACTATCCAAGAAGAGCATTACCTTCATCAGATCACCGTCAACAGCATGTTCGCTATACAGATACTGTACATCAATTCTCTCAAACACACGGAGAAGGCAGCAGCAGTCAGAGCAGACCTTACAAGAGACAAGCTCCTTCTTCTCAGTCAAGAGCCCCACAGGATGATCCTGAAATTCCAGAGAAGCGATCAAAGTATGAAGTCTAGTTGCTATGGTATCGGTAGAGTAAGACAGTGTCCCATTGGTTACACTATGATACAGGGCTCCACACTAACTTTTATTTGGAAAAGAGGTCACAGATTTAAATTTTTACACTCTGTATGCATGTGACCCTAGTTTAAACTTCCCAATGCAGGGGTCCAGACTCAGATTATGGGTGTCCATGTGTCCTGGCTAGCCTGTTGGTTTCCAGCCCTGGGGGGTGTTTCACAAAGATCCTAAGTTGAACTTATCTCTAAGTTGGACTTAAAAATTATGGAAAGCCATTAGCATCTGTGAAAATATTTTGTAAAAGTTATTTTGAAAGGCATTAATTGTTTATTCAAATCATTCATATTTTCTATCATCAAGGAGATTTCATGTTCTGGATGTGGAATTTATAAAAAGTCTAAAATACTTGAATTTTTGCTTTTTAATATATTTAATTTTAAGGCTACAAATGGCTCTCCATAATATTTAAGTCCAACTTAGAGTTAAGTTCGACTTAGGATCTTTGTGAAACACCCCCCTGGACTGATAGCAAGAAATTTGGGGTAAAAAAGGGGGGGGGGGGGTAATTTTCGGAGATGTTTATAAATGTTTGAAAATTTGTAAAAAGTCTGTTTTCTTCTTTTTTCACCTTGATATGTACAGCCCACTATCTGATGTTAATCTATACTTGTCACAAGAATGGGATCGTAATATTGTCACAATGTTTGAAAACATTTGAAGCCCTATGTATAAAGTGATGGAAAAATAGGATACGTTTTTTGAACGTGTACTCAATAAGCCCAAAACAGAGTAGTGTAAAAAGCCCATTGTGTACCTGTTTTATGCAGAAAGGTATCACACAATTTGTCATGAACAAGAGGAATTTTAGTTTTTCTCTGAATGAGAATGAGTATGTACCTGTGTTTAAGAAAGTAGGCTACTTCGTATGGGTTCTATCCCCTGGATAATCAGACCCCCCCCCCCCCCCCCCCCCCCGGCCAATTACTAGTTTCACAATTAAGCAAAAAAATTGTTTTCAATTTAGAAGTCAATTTAATGTGCACCTGTTCGTATTGTGCCTTCAACACCTGGCACAAATTGTCGCCGTTGACAATTTCTGCCACATTTGGGGGTTTATTTTGTAGAACAAATTGCATGTAATGTAATTCTTTTGTAAAATATTAATAGGTGTGTTTTTTTCAAGTTCATTCAAGTTCAAGTTCATTAATCCATTATAACAATCATAGATTAATAATAAGAATAATAATGATAACAATTATAATAATAGTATAATAATAACTGATTATATTGATAATAACAACTTGTGATAATGATAATAATCAAGATAATAATAACAACAATGATAACAGTGGATTTGAGTGTAGCCCTCATGTCGGTTAAACTTGACACTTGTGGGGCTCCACACTTTAATACACCCATACATATTAAGTGACACCATCAGATTGCATCCATCGTTCTTTCATTCCTCAGGAATAATCTGGAATCAGATGGAAAACTTGACAAACTATCAAAACACATGCCTCCTGGGACTTACACAAGGCTATGCACACTACTTGGCATCGGATACAACGAAGCCATCGGCTTCCTAGCCAAGTTTAACATGGACTACCAGAGAGCTATGAGGGATTGCTTGGCACAGTGGAAGACAAGAACTGGTGGTAATATGGACGAGCTTGAGAAATTCCTACAGGATGCAGAGGTTGCAGATTTAGTGAAGTATATCAAGTAATCATGTGAAGCTTCCAACTGTTCAATGTCAACTCTTAAAGGTATTGCAAAGTTCTGGGAAATTCTGAAAACTGGATGGATAGTAATTCTTTTTTTTTAATTTTGATATATATGGATGCCCCTGTGGACGTATTATAAGCACTAGAAAATTCAGCCTTTAAAACATTTCTGCTTTTGAGAAATTGCTCTCGGTAAATTTCAAATATATTAAATAGCGGCTAAGGCCATTCCATGGCAGCTGCGGCCATGAAAATCTCAGAATATGCAGTTCTGATATAAAATGTCCAAACGGGAATAGCAAATCTGTCAAATGTAGTCAAGAAACATTGTTTTAAAGCTAAAGTCATATCAGTCTTGAGAGGGAGCTATACAGCATAAAGAGTTTATTATTTACAATTTCATCACTTTAGACTCTATATCAACCGCGACAACGATCATTGAATATTGTAAGATCGCAGATGCTTCCAATATGTTCATTTGAACCAAATGTATGACCTCGTACCAAAACATTGTAATACCTTTAACGTGACACTGTGTCTGGGCTTTTATTCAATGACTGCCGGCTGAAATGCCTCCCAGAGAGTGGAGAATGTGGATACATTGTGTGCAGGCAAACCTGAAATTGATGACCAGAGTAATGACATTTCAGTGAAGCACCTAGAGACGATGTTTCACTGAGCGCTATATAAACCTAGAATATTATTAGTAGTATTATTTACAAAGTACAAAGTCTGAATTTTCTTTTCTTTTTTAGATCCAGGGTCATGGTTAACTGTATTAGTGGAATACAAGATTGATACAAAATAGTTTTTGACTCGGCTATGATCATCATGCATTATGCCTGTGTATAGAAGGTGACAACACCAGGGACAAGTAATTATAATAATAATAATGTTGACTTCTGATATCGTGCACACGCCATCATGCCATGACACTCCTGGCGCTCAACGATTATTACCCTGGTCGTAGACAGCTGCCAAATATGTAGCACTTTGGCATATCAGGTGCCTTTTTATACCTGGGTGGAGAGTGGAAAATGTGGATTAATGCCTTGTCAAGGATGATAGTGCATTAGACAGTTCATGTAGCGCATGTACCAAGTATATTGTAGACTTTTACCATTTTGTTTTAGGTGATTTGCATGCATGTATGAAATACCACTCCACTTTCACAAATTGAGTTTTCTAAGTATGTAATATTTCAAATTATCTTATCAAAATGTCACTATAATATTTGCCAATGTCATTGCCCATGTTCAATAAAAATATAATTAAGTAGAATCGATATTAACTTGTGAATTTGTAACCAGAAATGACCCAGATGTTCAGAGCCATATTTGCTCTAGTTATCTTGTCTATGAACGTGGTAGAACTCAGTATGATAGTTGAGAACTTAAAGATTTGTCTGATAAGGGTGTATGAATATAGGCCCTAGGTATCAGTGTAACATTTTGTCTGATGTGGATATTTGTTTGTATATCTAGAGCTACATCCAGTTCTAGATTTTGAAATCAATCTGAGGAATTATTTTCCAGGATTTTCTTTACATCACTCCAGTGTACATGTAAATGCAAATATGTTGCTATAATGTTAAGATACCCGCCTCTTTTGTCAATATAACATGCCTGAGTTATCAGTGTAATATTTAATTTGACATGGATTTATTTGTATATGTTATAACTACATGTACATTCACCAGTACTATATAATAAATCCAGTTGAGGAAATATTTTCCTGGATTTTCTTTACATCACTCCAGTGTATATGTAAATGTAAATATGTTGCTATGATTTTAAGACACATGTCTCTTTTGTCAATGTAACATGCCTGAGTTATTAGTGTAATATTTAATTTGACATGGATTATTGTTTGTATATATGTTTAAATACATTCACCAGAAATCCAGTTGAGGAAATATTTTCCAGGATTTTCTTTACATCATTGCAGTGTATAAATACGCTACTATAATTGTACGATACTATAATTGTACGATACATGCTTATTCTAATTATATTCAGTACTTAATTTCAATAAATGTTATGATATATATTCCAGGCTTTTCTTTGCATCATTATGATTATGCACTGGTATAATACATGTATATTTTGAACTTATATATATGTTTGCCATACATTCTTGCCTTGTAAATAACTTTTATATTTTAGTCAGTTTGCATTCCTGATTGGCTTATTAGATACAATTGTAGATACTACTCTCATGAGCATTCCGTTACCTTGCCTTTTGATCACCATCCTCTTCTGATTTTCATAATATGCATTGCAAATGCCTCAGATATGTGAGTTTATTCTGAATGTTGTCATGCAAAAGGACATACTAAACAGGTTTTTTCTATGTATATTGGATGATCATGAATTATTTGGAAATTAATTTTGCAGTGCCTTAGATATTTCAACATTTTGATGTACAAAGGAGACAAAAGAGTGTGGTAGTTGTATGTTGTATGTTGTTTGATGATAGTGTATTTGTATCCTACAGCTGAAATGGTGACACTCAACATTTTGTTATATTTGCACGACTGTGCAATATAAACGACCTTATTTTGCATGTCACAATGCATGCAAAAGTGAATTAGACTGTGCACATCTCGATTCTAGTTCTCTACGCGTTACCCATTGTTTGCATTGTCTTAACTGCACGCATCTGAGGCGAAGGCAACCTGAAAGTAATCAAGAGGGCATGCCTCCAAAGGATCGCAAATACCCTGATTTGTATATATCAAATATTGCTTCATTTCATTGCTCAGTGTAACATGTATTCATTTCCAAATTCAGAATTCCCCTCGTGCCTTTATATTTCATCCTCAGCCTATGGCCTTCATGAAATATAACATCACTCAGGAAATTCTGAATTTTGGGGTTCATAAATGCAGGTGCCTATATGCTAATTCTGAAGTGAGGGAAGCTGATGTAAAGCATATCCTTTTTATGTAAGATACAACTGTATGCATGTACAAACAAGCATAAATTCATGGTTTTGAAATGTTCATTACGTCTGTTTAGGGGATATTTTAATCTATGTATACCCGTGTATTGGTATATTTGAGCTTGATAAGATTCAAATTAAAAACAAAATGCAAAGTTTGAATAAATCTGAAAATCAAATGAAAATATGATTTATCTTGTGATTATATGGAAAATAGGAGCAGTAAAGTATGGATAAAAGAAAGAGAGTTGAAAGAGAAAATTGAGATACGAAATAGGTGTAAACATATAGGAGATATATTTTATTGAACTAACCCCTTATGAGTTGCAGAATTGTTGTAGATTTCATCAGTGACCGCCATTCTCTTTTGTATTACTCTCAGTCTCTCTCTCACATTACTTTTTATGCTTATTTTTTTTATTTTGTTGGTCAATGTAGCATTTATGTTTTGTTATTTAATGTTATTTCCATTCCAGTCATATCTCTCTCTCTCTCTCTCTCTCTCTCATCTTCCACATTTCGTCCTGTTTTTCTTTCTATCTTAACTCTCTCTCTTTAAATCGTTCTCTCCCTGACACTTTCTCTCTCTTTGTTTATGTTTCTTATTCTATTTCGGGGGGGGGGGGGGGGGTCAATGAGAGAGAGAGTGATATATATATATATATAGACAGAGAGAGAGATGGAAAGATAGAGAGAGAGAGGGGAGGGGTAGAGAGAGAGATCGGAAGATAGAGAGAGAGAGAGAGAGAGAGAGAGAGATGGGGAAATAAAAGGATAATAAGGTAAATTAATCTAGCCCATTCAACCCTTTTCATAAAAGATTATGCGAATTATTCTCAATTGCTGTAAAACACTCGTTTCCCTTACCTCCTCTCTCATCTGAACTTTTTTTTTTTTTCACCATTCAATATCACTCATCTTTACATTCGGTACACAAGATACAAGTTAGACAGGACAATTATGAAAATTACAAATATATTGCTATTCCATGCAACCCATACATTCAATTCAGCTTTGTGTTGAAAGCACATTGATAGATTGCAGCATGGATTTAAACAAATAATGTCATTTATGAAAATAATAACATAATTATTGATATCGGTTTGCTATTTATGTATGGATGCTTTTATGATGTGACTCGGAATAATGCTCATGATATGTACCGTCTGTTGAGAGCTGGAAGGATGTTGAACATTCTTGTTCAGCATTAACTTACACCCTTTTTGGCTCTCAGCATACAATATCATGTTTATGTCTATGTTTATACTGTATGTAACACCAATGAGAAACAAATTCCTGTTTTATTAAGGACAGCAAAAACCTGTCATTTTAAAATCTTGAATCTTGAATAATAATGTCGTAATCATTTTGACTGGTAATTTATTCAAGAAGAGGCTGGTGGCATTCCCCATCACCCATCTCCGTTGATACATTATCACGAGCAATATTCGATCATAATAATAACTGTTCCTACATTGATTTCATTTTCTCATCACATTTCGAATGGTTAATGAATCGAGCGAGCATAAGATTGTTGATAATTTTGTTCAGGTATGGTAAGGTGAATGTGTAAGTACTAGTAGTATCAAAACAAAAGTAAACAAGTCAGCATTAACTTAAAGATAAAGGTGAGAGGAAATTGAATTCTCACATAATCAAACGAAACTTACACTGAATGTTCAAGATTACAAATAAATGTCATTTTCCAAACAATTTTGGTAGAAAATGTATACTGGCTGAGTAATGAGCATAGAAAGATAAGGAAATCAAGGTTGGCCGGTAGCCCCGACACCATTTGTGTAGTCCCATATACATCTTTCTGTGTACAGTTCTTGTTACTTTACCAAGACTGGGTCAAATTTATTATGATTTTGATGACTCCAGAACTTTGCAATACACACCAATACTTACATGCTGCATGATCAACTTGTTCTGATCCATTTCACACCTTTTCTTTCACAATGCAATCGGATGACCAGAACTCACCTTTATCTTTAACTTATCATCCTTCTGGCTCTCAGCATACAATATCATGTTTATGACTATGATTTTTTTGTATGTTACACCAATGAGAAACAAATGTCGGTGTTATTAGGGACAACAAAACTTGAATTTTGGAATCTTGATTAATAATGTCGTTATCATTTTTATTGAAACTTTGTTCAAGAAGGGGCTGGTGGCATTCCCCATCACCCATCTCCGTTGATACATTATCACGAGCTTTATTTTATCGAAAAAGTTACTGTTCGTACGTTGATTTCTTTATTTTCTTTTCTCATCATATTTATAATGGACAATACATCGAGCGAGTATAATATTGTTGATACATTTTTTTTTTTAATGCGGACATTCAGATAAGGGGAGTTGTGTAAATATTTGTAACATCAAGACAAAAGTTTTTAAAACCGCTTTTACTGTTGTTCTTTATTTGACACTGTTCACTGGCCACATCCAAAATCACCCTGAAAAATAATAAATACCCCTCACCTCGGGACAAGTTGTCAGCGGGGAAGATTCCTGGTAATGATTCTCTAAGCGAAATAATAATCGGGTGTGCGAGGCTGTGAAATATTTCCAACACAAAGAGTTTCTCATGTCACTGTAAATTTAATCTCCATTCAAACCTCAATTTCAAATAAGTATGTAGTTCTGAATTTGATACAATCAGGAGATATTTCCTCGAGAATATGTCTCGTTTCAACCCTGGTCCATCCCTTACAAAGTTATGGTATTATACAGCGATTTCATTTAGATCTAAACGCAAGTGAAAAACAAATTATAAGGTGGGATGTTTGGAATATACATATTACTATTCATAGAATAATAAAAGATATGTTGAAAAGTGTAGTTGTATTTACATCACTTCAAATATTTTTGAACAAGATAATTTACAATACAAAGAGATGCTTTAACAAAATATGTGGCGCCTCATATGTTTTTAAATGGTTTGTAGCACGTTTCAACATGCTTTCATCTAGCTGCACTCATTTAAAGCACAGTGCACAATGCTGAAGAGGTTCTTCTCTCGGTAACATCGGACGATGGTGATGTAGATGTAGATGCCTGGGTCTCGACTCCAGATGGCACTGTTTTGCCTGCTCTGGTCGTAGTGAGGTCGTCTTTATTCGTAGACTGTTCATGGTTTGGTTCGTTGATGATCACAGGAGCTCTGACTTCGTTACCATCATGACACGTGAGGGCGTCATCCCCTAAATAGACGTAAAGTATATGGAAGCATTTTTTGCATGAATCATTCTTTTTTCTTTTTTTTTCTGTCAGCCAAATTATATATCTCATATTTGTATGTCCGTATCCTACCCTCCTGGGACAACTACCCCCGGACAACCACCCTCCAGACAACTACCCGCTAGGACAACCACCCTCTAGCACAATCTCCCGGACAACTACCGCCCAGACAACTACCCCCCTAGGACAGTTGTCCGGGAGTAGTTGTCCTATAGGGTGGTTGTCGGGGGTAGTTTTCTGGGGTATAGTTGTCCGGGGTAGTTGTCCTAGAGGGTGGTTGTCCTAGGGGCAGTTGTCCGGGGGTAGTTGTCCTGGAGGGTGGTTGTCCTAGGGATGGTTATCCGGAGGGTGGTTGACCAGGGCCGGGTAGGTGTCCTAGAACCCTGTATGTCAAGAGAGAGAGTTTATAGTACTACGAACTTAGATAAAGTTGAGTACAATGCATGGAATTATTATATGTTTTACACACCAAATGATGTTTTGGAATGATCTACTCAGTCTTGCTGAAGGTCACATTCACTGCACACGATAATGAGTATGATGGGAATACACACAATAATTTGAAGCAAACTTCTCAGCTCTTTGTTGTCATTTATATGAGGGTATTTTGAATATCAATCCTTTTCCTGAGAAATGTCTTTATTAATTTTGTTGTGTTCTTGAAAACTGACAGACGCGGAGAATGATAATGGTCAAACATATATTTACCACTGCAGAACTCATCCTATCAAAATGAAGACGGACTAAAGTTTTGAGTAATGCATGCTTAATACACCCTTTCACGGTTACAAGAGTGCGCATGCGCCGACATGGATCGCGAGTAAATAATGGGCGCCATTTTAATTTGCGAGTAACTTTATTTTATGCAGCATGCATTTAAGCAGGCAGTGACGCAACAATACATGCGCGTCTGAAAGCATTGATGACGCAATGTTTACTCGCAAATTAAAATGGCGGCCTTGACCGTGAAGGAGTGTATTAGACAGTACAGTAAAGGGTAAAATGAATAGAATTTAAGCAAAATTATAAATAATATATATATATAAACAAACAATGACTTAACAGATGCTAAACATAAACCGTAGCGCAGTCCTGATTATGTGCATATTCAAGGTTCAGGGTTCAAAGTTCAATGTTCAAAGTTCAACGTTACACACCTTCATCTGAAGCTGAGTCTGAAGCTGAGTCTGAAGCTGAGTCTGAAGCTGAGTCTGTGTCGTCATCATTGGTCTGGTTTGATCGAGCAATCACAAAGTGTGTCATCATCCTACCCTTACCTTTGATCTCCATTCCACCCCGGGCCTCGCATTCAAACCCTTTACCCTTGATCGCTCTATCAACCAAGAACAAATATAACAATTAAGATATATATTAGTTCTGGTCATGCGAATGCATTGTAAAAGAAACGTTGTGGAATCGATCAGAAAGAAAAGGTTGATCATCTAGCATATAAGTATTGGTGTGTACTGCAAGGTTCTGGAATCATCAAAATGATAATAAATTTGGCCCAGTCTTGGTAAAGTTACAAGCACTGTACACAGAAAGATGTATATGGGACTACGCGACATGTGCGCGACACGTGCGCGATATCTATCAGGTCCAAATAGATATAATAATTTACCAAATACACACTGTATATCAATTGGTAGGCGGTTTCCCGGTAAAATGTGTATCATCACCCAGATCATCACGTATTAGTCAAAACATATTCTTTTACATGATTGGCAATAAGAGCTTCCATTTCATTTTTTCAAGAGTGGGGCATTTCCAAAACTGGTCTTTACCTTTAAGCTAAGCATCATAAAGATAAAATAACATGATCGCAACCACTTTCGAAAGAAAACAATTAGCACCAATTTCGATATCCTACGGTAAATCCGATAGTCAAGAAATCATATATGGATTACGTAATTCGTCTTTGTAATGTTCGCACATTTCAATAAGTGATATTTAGCATAGGCCATTGAAATTGCCTGAGGTTGATTTTTCGAAAGTAGTTGCGATCGTCATGAATCTTGTAATTAAGATTTATTTTCCTCTGGGTAATTTTACTATAAAAAACAGTACTTAAAAACGAAAAAAACAAGATCACTTGACATATGAAGTACATTGACGTAAACGGCAGCATCTTCAAAGGGAGATATCCCGTTTAGTGTTTCAGTGTCGATATCCAGTGACTTTGTGGAAGATGTAAAAGAATTCTAGTCATGGCTCGATTTTCCTCTGAAATTGTCATGCATGTGGCTCTTCGATTTTACTTTCTTCACCAATTTCAACATGAAGAAGGTATTTGGCACTATTTTAATATCGAATTACTGTTCCAACAAGTGCCAGTGTGAAGAGGCCTTTAACGCCTTACCTGTAGGTAGAAGGGCTAATGTGAACTTTCCCCGGTAAACTGTGACTCTCCATTCTCGATGCCGTGTTCACAGTATCACCAAACAAACAGTATCTAGGCATCTTAACACCCACAACACCAGCTACTACAGAACGAATGTGAAGTCACCTGTAGAGAGAAGGGCTAATGTGAACCTTCCCCGGTAAACTGTGACTCTCCATTCTCGATGCCGTGTTCACAGTATCACCAAACAAACAGTATCTAGGCATCTTAACACCCACAACACCAGCTACTACAGAACGAATGTAAACTCACCTGTAGGTAGAAGGGCTAATGTGAACCTTCCCTGGTAAACTGTGGCTCTCTATTCTCGATGCCGTGTTCACAGTATCACCAAACAAACAGTATCTAGTCATTTTAACACCCACAACACCAGCTACTACAGAACGAATGTGAACTCACCTGTAGGTAGAAGGGCTAATGTGAACCTTCCCTGGTAAACTGTGGCTCTCTATTCTCGATGCCGTGTTCACAGTATCACCAAACAAACAGTATCTAGTCATTTTAACACCCACAACACCAGCTACTACAGAACGAATGTGAACTCACCTGTAGGTAGAAGGGCTAATGTGAACCTTCCCTGGTAAACTGTGGCTCTCTATTCTCGATGCCGTGTTCACAGTATCACCAAACAAACAGTATCTAGGCATCTTAACACCCACAACACCAGCTACTACAGGCCCGGTGTGAATGCCGACTCGAATCTATGTTGATGAGAAAAACAAGAAAACAAATTTAAAATCTCAGCCATTTAAAATATCTATATATATATCTAATAACTCCTGTTTGTCAAAAGGTTTTTAAAACCAGCAATAGTGAAGAAAATATTGATAAATAGAGAGGAAAAAAAAGGGGGGAGCGGACGTAACGGATACAAAAAGAAAGACAGCCAGAGAGAAAAAGAGATATTTAGAGAGAAAGAAGGAAAGAGTAGCAGAGAGAGAGAGAGAGGAGGAGGAGAAGAGATGAGGAAAGAGAGATGGGGCAAACGGGAAGGGGCGCCAAGCTTATACAGACATTGTTAACAACCGTACTTCTTGGTGATAGAAATGAAATACAAACAAGTGTATTAAAATCAACATCTAAAGTGACGAAGAGTGATATCATCTTCAGGATAGTAGAAATACACTTTAGCATTCTGGTTGCATTGTGTCATGTTTGAGCCAGTGATTTGTAGAGAGAGATACAACTTACACAAAATAAATATACCTCAGGCTCTTCCCTAACAGTTACTTTTGTTAAGCGCGACGTTCATTCAAGATTTCATACATTAACCTCCCTGTAATAACTAATTTTTGAAACCAATTGATGTTGGATGTTTGTCTTGCCTGACTGCTAAGAAAGCATGTATATGCTTGTAAGTATAAGCAGCCAGGGAACCAACGCCTGCAAGTACTTTCAGATGGACTTTGTAATGACGGCTAATACCTTACCGAAGGGCAGGAGCGCATTGACTTGGTTCCGAACCCAGAACCTCCCGGTTACAAGACCAATGCTCTACAACTGAGCCATCGCGCCTCCTATAACCGTCTGAACTATACTTAGATTCCGTTACCATGTTCTAGGACCATCATCTAACCTGTATCAATTCGGTATATAAAAGATATAAAGACTGCTTTAATATTCGAGGCATATCTGTTTTTATAGGCTCTCGGGGACGTTAAATCCTGCTATCACCCCTCGGCACGTCTCGGCGTGATATCAGGATGTAACTTCCCCTTGAGGCTATACAACAACTATTCCTCTCATAGCAGTCATTATATCTATACTATATTCTAGGAGCATCATCTTACCTGTATGATCTCTCCTGTGACGGGCGATGAGATGCTCTTAACCCCTTCAACCTGCCCAAGACCAAAGCATGCCACCTGTTCAGCATGAGTTTCATTAGGGATTGGCAAACCTCCTACCGTCATGTAAGCATCTCTGATGGTTTCAACCTTAAATAAATGCAAGTGTTAACTGTAAACAATAACGAGCATTAACACATAATGTTATAACCTCTTCTATCGTCTTTTTTTTCTCCAAGGAATGCAAGTATTGTTTTTTTTATTTTTTACTCAACTCGTTTACTTGTAATACTCAAAAACCTAAGGGGAAATGGTGTAAGAGGAAAGTGCTAAAAAGATAAGGCATTTTCAATTAGAAATTCGACTCCTTATTAAAGCAGAAAAATATCAATCATATGAGGTAATGTACAAATAGCTGAATATCGTGAAAAGTGAAAAATAAAATTTGCAGATAATTATATCAGGGAGTATTGCAAGTTCACAAAGCCATCTTGAAGCTAGTTCTAATTTACTTAGTTTTTTTTTCTTCTCTCTTTTGTTATTATTGTTAGATGCAATTATATTGTTAGGGAAGATTCGTTTAATTGATCAGGTAATACTTAAATAATCACTTATATTTACGTAAAATGTGGAATAAATAAAACTTCAAACTTCACACTTCAATTTTATACCGAGTCCCCAGGGTAAGATATGCAACTTTTTCCATTTTTAATGTGATTTTTTTTTTTTTTTTTTTTTTTTTTTTGGGGGGGGGGGGGTCCAGAAATGCTTACCTTATAGACATTGTGTAAGCTGGTGAGCTCATCGAAGACAACATACATCTCATTGAGAAGATGAACAATCTGAATAGGATCACACTGAGAACACATGTCGGTGAAGCGAACTATATCACTGAAGGAAATAGTCACTTGCTGAAACTCACCTAGAGAAAGATAAAGAGGGTGAGAGAGAGAGAGAGAGAGAGAGATAGAAAGAGAGCGAGAGAGAGAGATGGATAAATAAAGAGAAGGAAAGAGAGAAAGAGAGAGGGGAGAGGGAGAAAGAAAGAGAGAGAGAGAGAGAGAGAAAGAGGGCGGAGAGAGAAAGAGAGAGAGAGATGGATAAAGGAAGAGAAGGAAAGAGAGAAAGAGAGAGAGAGAGGGGGGAAAGAAAGAGAGAGAGAGAGAGAAAGAAGGCGGAGAGAGAGAGAGAGAGAAAGAGAGAGAAGGAAGGGGAGAAGATAATGGAATACATGTGCAGCAAACCACATTGTATAATGAAAATGTAAGAAATGATCACTTACTGAAAATTTATACTACAGCGAAAGAAAGAGAGGAGAGAGAAATGTTCATATACAGAAAGAGAGGGGCCCTCACACATAATTGTTTGTGATAAAATGAAATAAAATGAGAATTGTTTCGACCCCATACTCCTTGATCCTTTTCGAGCTATCTTACATAATTTTCTTAACGGCAACGCCAACCCCAAAATATATTTTAATAATGAAAAAACGCACATTTTGTTTAAACAATTTGTTTATTTTTGTATTAATCGTCACGTAGCCTAAACATAGCTTTTATTTGTTTAGTTCAACTATGTATTTATTATGATTTCATCTGGGACCCGTTTCACAAAGCCTTCTTTCAATGACAAATGAAAACAAAATCAGGGATAAATCTGCTGATAACCAATCAGAAGCAAGGATTTCAGTCACTGATGACAAGTTTTGTGAAATGGGGCCCTGTCCATTGGTTGACTTATCGTACCTGCCTCAACCTTCTTCCCATCTCGGAGATCATTAGCGACCTCTTTCGGCAGCATTGAGTACAGTAGTGTATCAGTTTTCTTCTTCTCTAATTCGAGGTCTCTCATGAGCGTGCGCAGTTCTTCTTTCTTCTGCTCCAACTGCTTGGCCAACTCAACCTAAAAACAATGCATCAAATACAAACATTTTGCCTTTTGGTAATTTGCTAAAAGTGTTATATTAATGATAAAAATAATTATACAAAATAATAATATTAAATTACTATAATAAATATCAATTTTAAATTTAATGGACGAGCTCTTTTTTTGTTAACCACTAGTTGAGCTTCAAGAAGGCATGCAATTAGATCGTGCGTGCCGTTGTCCACTAATGGATTGTACAACCCAGTCCGCCAATTGTTACCATAATTGAACTTGAGGTCGAAATGGCTTCGTTGATTTTATTACAAAACATCCATTAAACATACTTGACGCGCAATTCCGTGATAATCACATATAAGGACATACAGGGATGTGCTGCTCTAATAGGTCACTTTGAAGCAACTCCCCTAATTTGAAGGTGAATTTCATTGTGAAACTTCGTATTTGGAAATATTCATGACGAGGACATCATTTTAACCTTGATGTTGCCATTAACATTTTCCTGTTTAGAATAATAAAAAACACCACACAAATATAATTAAGTTTGAAATATTTAGTAACCTCCGCGATTCTTTGTTGATTGAAAAGGATAAGGTCACGTGTTAGATCATGTGATGCGATGTCTGAAAAGTGCATCTTCCTATCGCGTAGGTCATTCAGTGACGTCAGCTGAGGTGAACAGAGGAACACATACAGATGTGAATCAGGCATCCACACCATCTGACCTGGGATTGATGACAAGGAAAAGGAAAATGAAGAATGTATTAAACACAATTATAACGGGAGCCTGTAAAGAGGAAGTGCATCCTGATATTAAGTCGGTTATAATAGAAGCAGAAAAATGACAGAAATAGGTCAGTGAAAAATTGAGCAAAACCCGATTAGAAATAAGAAAGTTATGAATATTTGAAGGTGTGATCAATCAGACAGAAATTGGCAACTCCGTGATGTATCTTGCGAGGTCCCCCGCCATTTCCCCTGTACTAAAAAAACCACACAATCAAACAGTTTCCCTTTATATAATTTACAATCATACTCTCACCCTGAATGTGATTATTGCAAATATATTTTGTATACAACCCGGGTACGAAAAAATATATATTTCGTTATCAGTAACGATACAAAAATGGAAATTTATTATTTTTCTTTACAGAGCAAATTTTAGAGGACCTTGCAATATACGTTACAGTGTTGCGAATTTGCGTGTCACTGATGAAAATGTTCCCATTTTCGATCGGATATTGCTCACAATTTTACTAATTTGTTTCTCTCATTTTCTGCTTTTATTAAGAACCACACATTCAACCTTGTTTCTTTTTCGAAATAAGGCATTATGGTTCACCCACGCCCGATATAAGACCTAATGGTGGAAAACATTTGATAACTGTATGATGTACATGAAACGAAATGACATATTGTATGATCGAAGGTCTCTCCCTTTTTATGCTGCTACCCTTTCCCCCTTCAGTGCTCTATTATATCTTTCTTTCCCTCTTTCTCTCTCTCTCTCTCTCTCTCTCTGTCTCTCTCTCTCCCTCTCTCTTTCTCCATCTCCCTCTCTCTCTCTCTCTCTCCCCCTCTATCTCTCTCTTTCTCTTTCTCTCTCTCATCATTTTTTAATATCCTCTCAGTAAAAATTCACAATGTGACCTTACAAATTTCACCATTGCAATGACCGTTTAATGAACTTAGGCCTACGGACAATTGATATGCAAGACGTAATTGAGTTTACTATAGGGTGGTTACCCAGGCAAACATTGCTTTTCATAAAGCGCATCGCTTTCAAGTGTCGTTAAATTTGCCTTTCCGTACTGTTCGGTTTTATAAACGTTCAGGTGGTGGAAACAAGTGGTGGAAATAGGTGGATACTCTGCTATTTATTGACTCGTTACTCCTCTCCCTTTTAGCGTATTTCGTTTTCCTTTTATTTATTTTTTTCTGTATTATTTTGTCCCAAATTTTATTGAACTCGTATACAATTATTTGTCAAATTACTGCCCTCTTACATTTGATTATGTACGTCTCTCTAAAGTAAACATATTTTGTCCCGGTCATTTGTCCACGTCTACCAGGAACCTTCATGTTCTTTTACCCTTCCTCCTTCATTCCGCTGCTTTTCTTTCTATAACTGTCTTTCTCCCTATATATATATATATATACGTATATATATATATATATATATATATATATATATATATATAAATATATATATATATATATACATATATATATATATATATATATATATATCTCCCCCACCCTCACTCCCACCCCTCTCCCCTCTCTATCTCAAGCTCATCATTTTTATTATCCTTTCAGTAAAAAATAAAAGAATAAATAAATAAAATCACCCTTTCAATGACCATGTAATGCAAATCAAATTATTCCTACAGACCAATTTATATTCAAGACGTAATTGAGTTTGCTAAGAAGCGGTAACCCATGCAAACATTGCTTTTTAAAAAGTTCATCGCTTTCAAGTGTCGAACGTATTATTAAACTTGCCTTTTCGTGCATCCCGTTGCAATAATTTTTGTCAGTTCTATTTGTTACTTTTTTAGAAGAAAGAACTTTGATTATATATAATTTGATTTCATTTTCTTTTCGTTGGAATTCACAAAAAGTTTTAGAAATTAATAAAATAATTCAACATGGGTGCACACACGTAGATGGCAGGGAAAATGTGCGCTGACGAAATTCTTTTCACCACGAGCATAATTTATTTGCATGAAATGAATCTAATCATTCATTACCTCTGATAGAGACGACCGGCATGTGAGGAGCCATGGCTTCTTTCTTCAGCGTCGCCATAAAGATCATATTGAGAAAGAGAAAGATATTCTCCGACGTCAACTCGATCTCTGGGTGGTCAAGGATTAGAATATCCTTGAGTGTAGCGCCCTCATCATTGATCAACGGACAGAACTGTTGCAGCTTTGATCCAGAGTGCATGATCACCAGGTCATCATTGAAGAGAATGTGGTAGGGGAAGGTCTTGCAGAATGTCTCAGGATCTAGGAGAATCCTCTCGGGGATCTTCGGTTTGAAGTGACTGATCGGGAGAACACGTTTCTAAGAGATCTCGGGGAGACATTGGTCTCTTGCCACTTTTCCTTCGGCCAGACTTTCTTCAATCCCGTTGATATCCATTCCTGAGAAAGGACATCGTTTAGCGGATCCGTTACGAGCGAGAAGCAGATTATTCTTCACCGATTCGTTGCTTGGTGGACGATAGTCACCACCACCGATGAGATGCGAGGTCCCATCAACAATGGAGGTCCATTCCTAAAAATCCAAAAGAATATACCCTGATGATCAATTTCCTCAATAGATCCCTGTTGTTGCCTCCCCCCTCTCCACACCTACCTTTATGTCAATGTTATATAATTTAGCAAAGATTCTTGGAGCCCACTTCACTTTTAAAAAAAAGATTGTCGTTACTTTCTTCACAAAGTATATTAAGGGATATCCATTTCCAGGATTGAGTTCATATGGAACTGTAATAACGTAGTCGGGAAAACAAAATGTTTGATTTGAGTTATTAACGTATCGCGCGCGCACACCCACCACACATACACACGCACTCACCAACACACGCACACACACAAACACACAAACCCACGCGTGCGCACACCTACAGAGAACAAACATATAGCTCCGTTTAGTCTCATTTCACAACGTCCCCTATCGTCAGAGTCAGCAGCCATACATGTTAGCCTATGAAATTGTACCCCCCAACAAAAATCGTTAAAAATTCATTTTTTGTTTAAACGAAAAGCACATCCACCCCGACTTACGTTATCACTAGCTCTTTCATTGCAACCCTCATGTCCCATTGACTTTTGAAAGTTCACCCACCGTAATTTGATCAAAATAGGTTGCAAGCTCGTCATTGCCTATAGTACACATGTGAAACAATCTATCTATATGTAACATATGTTTTATGGACCTCTGCCTTGTGCAGCTGAGTCTGAAATAAAGTTCTGAATTGAATTGAATACATCTATATTTTGACTTCGAAGTTTTCTGTATCAGTCGGAAACGCCTCTAATGTTTGAATATACCAAAGATCCAGTTGCAGGATATAACGATGAAACTGTGATCGCCATCTACGACCCCCAAACATGTCCTTTAATAGTCATTTAACCTATTGTGGATCGGGTATTCTATCAAGCCTTTAGGTTTGACCCATTAAAGATACCTAAACCATTTGATTTTAATATAAGACTGTGATTGAAAGCTGATCGGCCTAAAAGTGGCCGACGGTTGTAGCCCCCCAGGAACCCAGAGCACCAGGAACAGACCCAGAATCGTGTCAATTAACACCGTCTAACCTTGCTGCAAACCTATGAAAAGGAAACAGTAGGAGGAAGGTTCAATAATACAAAGGAAAAAATACTGATTTTTTTATCGGGAAGCGATTGTCAGAAACACGCGAAAAGTCTGGTCGGGTAAGGCTGTAGACCGTTACAAATCATGAGAAAAGGGGTGACAATTCCTCATCTAGAATGTTGTATTGATTCCCGTGGAAAATTAAAACGAGTTATGATAAAACTTATATGAGCTCTGCATGTCCGATTACAAACGGCTCATTGTGATTATGGAACCCTTGTTTCCAGCGTATTTAACTTCGTATATCACTCAAAAGTACCACATGTTACAGCACATAAATGACTCGAGCACGTCTATCATCAAGAATCTACGTTGCAAAAGAATTAATATTAGATCAAGACTCAAGGTCGCAGCCTAATGCAATTACAAGTGACATTATTTTGGGCATGGTATAACAATGCTTTGTAGAAAGGGTATTGCAATAGGCCAGTTTCGTAATGTATTCAGAGACCTTTAAATCGCATTACGTAATCGGAGGGTCGGACAAGCAAAGAACTCGCGGTGCGTAGCAGACTACACTTTGCGTGCATACCATACATGACTGTGTTCGCTAGGTGTGATTGTATCGTTTGTTTTCGCTATTTTGAGAGAGAGAGAGAAGAAAAAGGAGGCAGTTTCAAACTTGAATAATAAATATCTTTGAGATGTGATTTTGTTCTTCATACATTTGATCTTTAAAATCGCTGAGTCTTAGGCAAGAATAATAGAAAAGCATTGCTGGTACAGAACTAGCGATTCACATCTTGCAGCTAAACCTGTTCGGCCAAGTCCCCGGTACAGGCAGCGCACGATACCCCCTCAAAAAGAAGAAAAACGAGGTCGATGATACAAGCGATATTGGCTTGAAAGCCAGTGATGAAATAGAAAGCGAAGCACCAAAATATAAGTTAGCTAGCCGATATCGGTAATTTCCATTCAATTTTGCATTTACCTTAGCTTGAATCTGAGAACAAATTAGGACGTAGAAATGAAAGAAGTGATGAACTATTTTCCACTCGTTCGCACACACAGTCACCTCTGCTTGCAGAAGCGTGCGCGCGTACCACGTGTTCGTGTTCGTGTAGGCGCGATTCACATTTTCAAAATGAAAACAATTTTACGGATTAAAAAATGTTTGTGAAACGCCTCGATACCGACTATTTCAAGGCGGACGAGAAACGGCTAACGAGAAGCAAGCACTGACCGCAGAATCAATATTATTAACAAAGGCATCGAGAAATAATGACAATTAAGGTAATAATATAATATATAAGGTCTTTGTTAATAAAATAATATTTATAAAATAATATCGTCCGATGACAAAGAGCTAGAATAAGAATGATGAACAATGATAAACAAATAATTTTGAACGGAAAAAATGAAGAAAAACAATGAACAAGGAAAAAGAATGAAAGAGCAATGGAAAAAGGGAATAATAAAAGTAATAAAAAAAAACCTTATGATGGCAAGGAAGAAGAATCAGGATGATGAATAATTTTATTGTTTAGAATAAGATTAGGAATTAAGTTTGATTTTCATAAAATAAAAGTTAATAGTCTAGTATTAGACTACAATTATGCCGGACCTTCGTTATTCAACTTCAAGAAGCAATTATTATTATTTAAAAAAAAACATTTAAAAATAAAACTGTTATTATATTTTCTATTAGATCTGTAGACTTCTACTTTTTATTTGTTTATTATTTATATATTTTTTCTTTTTGTTCAAGTTGGGATGTTCTGTCTTTTTGCGTCGGTTTGACCTGTATAATCTAGTCACAAGTCGCTATCATAAGCTGCCGAGAGCTAACTAGAGGGAGGATTGTACTCGAGCTTCTCCAGGCCACATACCCAGATAACAATACGACGTTACGCCAACGTGGGGCCAACGTAAGCTGTTACGTTGGTCCAACGTCGCCAACATGATGTTGGGCCCACGGCTTTCTTGCCGGCGGGCCAACGTTGGCCCGACAGTGACAAAATGACATTAAGCCAACATCGGGCCAACGTTATGCCGACCCCTATCCGACCATATGTGCGATGTCCTCCCGACATTGAACCAACGTTATGCCAACCTCTTTTCCACCATATGCCGACGTCTTTCCGACATTGGACCAACGTCGTCCCAACCCTTTTTTAACCATGTGCTGACGTACGACCAACGTTATGCCAACCCCTATCCCACCATGTGCCGACGTTGTTCCGACATTGGATAAACGTTATGCCAACCCTTATCCCACCATGTGCCGACGTCTCCTCGACATTGGCCCAACGTTATACCAACCCCTTTTCAACCATGTGCCGACGTCTCCACGACGTAGGGCCAACGTTATTCCAACCCCTATCCCACCATGTGCCGACGTAGTTCCGACATTGGACCAACGTTATGCCAACCCCTATCCCACCATGTGCCGACGTCGTGGGCTGTTACGTTGCGCCATCGTCGCCAATATGATGTTGGGCCAACGGCTTTCTTGCCGGCGGGCCAACGTTGGCTCGACAGCGACGAAATGACATTAAGCCAACATCGGGCCAACGTCCCCCCGACGTATGACCAACGTCATGTCAACCCCTATCCCACCATATGCCGACATAGGACAAACGTAATGCCAACCCCTTTTCCACCATGTGCCGACGTCTCCCTGACGTAGGACCAACGTAATGCCAACCCCTTTTACACTATGTGCCGACGTCTCCCCGACGTTGTCCTAACATAATGCCAACCCTTTTCCCACCAAGTGCCGACCCCTCCTCCACCATGTGCCAATGCTAGACCAACGTTATGCCAACCTCTTCTCCACCATTTGCCGACGTAGAAGCAACGTTATGCCAACCCGTATCCCACCATGTGCCGACGTTGTACCTCCCCTTTCCAGTTCATGCCAACATCCTTCTGACATTACCAACACCAACTCAAAAACATATTCACACCAACATCAGTCGTCCGTTCATAAGAACATCGTCAAGATCATACTACATCGGACATGTACAATCATTCAAACACATGCATCACAACGTGACAAGGAAAAGCCAAGTAGTTTAAGATTGGATTAAATAAATAAACAGAGCAAAATCCACAAAATGAAGATAGTAACAATTTCATCAAAATTAGACTGAATTTGAGAAAAGTTCATTACAGAACTCGACTTAGATCCCTCTGGAAGATATGTATAATAACAATATTGCAGCAAGAGGAACATGTTATTTTAATTTCGTCATGTCTATTATCTTGTACATTTTAATTACTATCAAAACTTGATAACAACTTATTTGTCCCATTTTAATGAAAAGTTCACCATCTTGCTTCTTAGAATTTGCTCTGAATACATCCCCCTCCCTCCAAAACAAAAGAACAAGGAAAATAAACTGATTTTGTGATAAAACATACTTTATTTTATGTGTAATAAACAAACTGTTGTAAATGTGAATACAATTATTGTACATCTTTCTTTTGTATTTTCGTTTGAATTCGAAAAAGATGTAAACATAGTTTCAAGTTCAAGGTATCTCAATGTGTCACAATATAGGCCTACTATCAATGAATGCTAGGACGATAGGAGCTGTTATAAAATAAAGTGTCGCTTACACGTAACACAACATAACATACTGAAATTCATTGTACGAATATAATAAACAATCCTCACAACTTCCCGAGTAAAACAAAACAAACTTTCTGGCAGACGAACACGATTGCTTATGACAAGATTCCTCTACATATGTACAGCACAAAAATATAAAGAAATTAATAAAGTGTCCACCATTTGCATACCAAGAACTAGGCAATTAATGTTAACAATGTTCCATAAAAAATTAAAAAATAAAATTCAGAGAAATTGCCAACATTTTTTATGCTTAGGCATTTCAGAGATGCTCATACATTTCATCGCCATATCTATTGTTAACACATCTATAAACTGTTTTTTTAGGAGGGATAGTATACATTGCTTGAATGTGTGAAGTAAAGCAATCGCTAAATGTTTATATAACAAGAGAGGAAATTTGAAAGTGAAGTAAGAAAGAGCAGAGCTCGTAAAGGGAAAAACACAAGTTTCTTCACTCTGATATACCACTTTCAATATTTCTTTAAATTGAGAAGAAGGTAGTACGAAAAACATTCAGTCACTTAGATATATGAAACATTTTTTTCTTACCTTTAAAATTCTTTATAGCATGCATTTAGTTGACACGTTATATAGGCATTCAAATCAATTACGACCTTCTTCGACTCATGGTATAGCTCTCTTTTTAAAATTGGGCCATTAGTGAAATTTCACCACAATAAATAACAAGTAAAGATGCATAGCACACTATTTAATAACAAAAGTTATTGTTTATGTTTGTGTACAAAACATAATGCCTGCAGAGCTGGCTAGCAAGCACCGTAGCTTGCCTAAGCGGAGATCGTTCTTGATATAACATCACTAATCCTTTGGTCAATCATTCCGAGGAACTCTGAGAATTGTAAGGGGCGGGGTCCACCATTAGACGAGCAACTTGGAGAGGTTTTCAAAAAATTGTAAAAAATATAAGGAGGCATTTATTTATGAAACAATTGTTATTTTGTTGCTTTAAAAGGGTCTTGATACAAGACATAAAAGTTTTAATTTCCTAAGGCAATGGACCTTTAAAGAATGGGTTAGTCGGAATCAAAATCTTGTCTAGCTTGTGGTGGTACAACTTCGACATCTGCGGCAAAAAGAAGAAGAAGAAAGAAACCAAATAAGATTTAAAAGCAGATC